ACACCCGAGACAACCTTTGAAAGAACCATGAGGCTAAAGAGATTTTAGAAATCACTACTTGTAATCCTTGGTGATCTGCCTCAATTTTAGCCATGCGTGTCTTAAATATTTTCTGTGATAACGGAATGTCCCTTTACCGTTCAAACGGTAATTTTCATATTACACCTAAATTGGAGGCCAATTCTTAATTTTTGAACTTGGCTTTACTACGTGACANTACGGCAAAAACTGTTTCAAAAGTCACCTCCAATGCTCTTCCTGGGTTAATTTTTTAAATGTTGACGAATTCCTCAAGTTGAAATTTCAAGGACCGTATCCAAAGTTTGAACAAAAAATGGAGATTTTTTGTTGTCGTTCTCTCTGAAACTTTACATGTCGTGTCGTGCGATGAACGCAAAGAAATGTTCCCAGAAGTGTGATGCACGTGCAGAGCAGTTGTTTTGCTCGTTGTTTAACATATCGCATTTTTCGACATTCTCTCTTTCTTCGTTATCGTGGTAGCTTTGATTACGCTCCCAAATGATAAAATAACAGGTTTAAGACTCATGAATATATTATCAGAGTGTTTAAAAAGCCAAGTTAAAACACCCGAGACAACCTTTGAAAGAACCATGAGGCTAAAGAGATTTTAAAAATCACTACTTGTAATCCTTGGTGATCTGCCTCAATTTAGCCATGCGTGTCTTAAATATTTTCTGTGATAACGGAATGTCCCTTTACCGTTCAAACGGTAATTTTCATATTACACCTAAATTGGAGGCCAATTCTTAATTTTTGAACTTGGCTTTACTACGTGACACAGCTTAAGGAAAATCTGGAAGAAAAAGTGTGGGACTTACTGATTGAGGTCTGCAGTATGGCCAGTACGAGGACTTACATTTCTCTTCCTTTTTCACCTTTTAGACCTTGAAAAAGCACCTCTGGTCGTCCCAGTTCAATTCCGTCCCAATCTTGAAGGCGAGGACAACAAACTGACCACAGAAGAGGAGCGTCTCTTGGAAATTGTCATGCATCGTTTGGCGGACCGCGTGCGTATTCGTCGCATTCAAATCTTCCCGCTCTTCGAGGACTACGACCGAGTACACAATGGTACTGTCTCTCAGTTCCAATTCCACCGCGTCCTTAGCGAGCTTGACCTCGGGAGCCTGGTGAGCGCGCGGGAATTCTTGGTGATAAAGAAGAAATTTCTCGTTGTCCTTGGTTACAAGCACGACTTTAACTACATTGGGTTCTGTGACATGGTGAACGACTTCGCAAATTTTGAGTTTGGAAAGCCGTAGTGTCGATTTTAGACTGTTTTACTTTGTAATATGAGAAAAATACATATATTTTGTAATCTTTTTTTCTTTCTGTTGACATGTGAGGAGTCTGTTAGTGTAAATAAAGAGTATTTTATTGAAAAAAACATGTCACTAAAAGGCCACTGGAAATAATTTTAAGTTTCTCTGTACTCTTTAACAAAGCTTAAATTTGACGATCGAGGAACCGATCGAGTTTTACGGGGTCCACTATCAGGAAGAGAAAAATGGCTTTGAATTTTCAATTACAGATAACATTTTAATAGTTATCTACGCATCCTTTCAGTGTTACGTTAAACGCCTGTGTCTTCATTGTCTATCATTTGACTTAAAATAAAAAGATATTTCACCGCAGAGTGTTTGTGGAAAAATGTTTCTCAAACTTAGCAGAGATAATACGATAAGATTTAAAAAACATGCACTACCATTTGCCACCTTACAAACGAGAAGGAACTCTTGGCCGAGCTAACGTTCACAAAGACTTCTGGGACTATAACTGGGGACAGGAAAAAATTGGCCAATAGCTGACTGGCGCGTCCCCAGTAGCGATCCCAGAAACCATTGTGGGACACATTTCGGTTCCAGCCTCCAGCTCGTTTCTAAAGTGGCGAATTTTTGATGGGGCGATCAAAGTTCCTAATAAGAAACAAACTCCTTAGGCTCGATTTCCGCCGCTCTCTTTCGGGTCCTCCTCGGGTAGGGTCTGTTCGGAGGAGAAACCCGAGTTTATCACGGCTCGATTATGGGCAGGACAAAAAATTTTTAATCCTATTCGCTACTTAAGAAAAGAGAGGGAAACTGGGGCGAGTTAACTTTCGTTAACTTTGGTTCGAAAAGTAAGTGTTAGAGCGGCGCGAAAGCTCAACCTGAGATAATTGGGACTGTTACTAGAGACAGGAAAAAGCTGGCCGGCGCATTCCCGACTGCAGCGATCCCCGAAACAATAAAGTAAGACTCACATCGACTCCAATTCTCTCCTCGTTTCTAAAGTAGTAGTGAATTTCAAGAGGTGGGGAGGAAATTGAAAGTCTCTCTTTCCTGTCGGCCGACGTTTTAGAACAGCAACCAAGTGACGTCATTAAATTCAAGATAGCGGGGCGAGGACATGTTTTTAGTATTTTGAACTTTATTTAATAAATAATTACAGTACCATCGTCCTTAAATTACATTTAGAGACTTTAAAATAACTGTAACAATAGTAGCATTTCTTTCATACAATGTTGGTTCTTGACAATTTACACGTATTTCTTAGAAAAGCCGGCCAAATGTTTTAAATGATTACAAGGCTTGTGCAATAAAATGTTCCATAGATAAAACAGACTCGCCTTCTGATTTGCTCTCTACAAACCGTGCAAATATGTGAGAAATCATAGTTGTGATTTCGCGGTCAGTGTATGAGCTCAACTCCCCTGGGCTTATCTATGACGTAAAATAGATTACTTAAATTTCATCAAAGAGAGTTGAAGAATATGCACACCTCCTTGACAATGACGAATCAGGAGATTTGAAACCATGATGGCAAGGGCCGAGAGAAAACGTTACTTAAAAATATAACTCTCGTTCTTTTGATTTGCCTTTAAGTTGCCAAAAAATGAACTCGTAGTTGCAGCGAACGGTAGAGGAATGCACAAATCTGTAAAACGAACTTTCCAGAGTCATTGCTTTGCTTATCTAACTTTTCTTTTCGTTGTTGTTGTTGTTCTCTCTACTGTTGCCATCTTGTTATCTTAAATTAAACGCTCATAACTTTGATGGACATTGAAATGAGGATGCCAACCANAGAGTTGAAGAATATGCACACCTCCTTGACAATGACGAATCAGGAGATTTGAAACCATGATGGCAAGGGCCGAGAGAAAACGTTACTTAAAAATATAACTCTCGTTCTTTTGATTTGCCTTTAAGTTGCCAAAAAATGAACTCGTAGTTGCAGCGAACGGTAGAGGAATGCACAAATCTGTAAAACGAACTTTCCAGAGTCATTGCTTTGCTTATCTAACTTTTCTTTTCGTTGTTGTTGTTGTTCTCTCTACTGTTGCCATCTTGTTATCTTAAATTAAACGCTCATAACTTTGATGGACATTGAAATGAGGATGCCAACCAAAGGACACCCAACGCACGTTACCCTGGTTTCTTTATACAGTGGAACCTCGATATAACGAAGCGCTCTATATAAAGAAGTCCTCGGTATTACGAAAGATTTTCTTTACCCTAGTGATGGTAAAATATGTGAAAAAGAACCTTGATATAACGAAACCTCGTTATACCGAACAAATTTTGCCAGTCCCTTGGCCCCTCGTTATATCGAGGTTCCACTGTATAAGGAAGCACCTACAAGAAATTTTTAACAACCTAGTCAATCCAAATTAGGGTCTTCGGTAGGTAGTCGTAGAAAGAATAAACAACAAAAAACGAAAGGAATTTTGAAAGTCCATTGTACAGTTACCAGACGAGCTATTTAAGAAATAAATATATTTTTTTATGCTTTAAAATTTAAATATTGTCTTTTATGATTGAAGTTTTTTTTCCATTTTAGTATCTAATAATACTAATAAGTAACAAAAGCAAAGTTTTACAACATCTTTCAAAGGACACTATATACAATTTCAAATGCTATTTGCAAGAAAAACGTAACGACCACAAAAAAGGGTCCGCAATACGATCATGTGTTGATTATTAATCAGGGTGTTATACTTTTTTTTCAATGAAGTGGTTACCCTGAATACCCAAGGAAGTTGAACAAGTGATAAAAGCCAACGGAATATTGGGTTAACTCATAGCTTCTTAACAATTCCTTCTATCTGCGCTAACAAGTCAAGAAAGCGTCAGGAAAGATTTTAGTAGTTTTTTTAAAAAACAGAAATAATCATCAGCCGTAGAACGGCTTACAAAAAACTTTAAACTCATTAGACCGAAAAACTGACGAATTTTAACTGTTTGTCTTGCAGCAGTTCACTTTAAAAGCGTCAGTGTCAGCTGTTAATTATTATTATTATTATTATTTTTATTGTTATTATAATTATTATAATTATTGTTACTATTGTTATTTTTGCCGTGGCAAGGGCATCAAGAAAGAATCTATCAACTTAAAAGTGTTAAGCACCAATATAAGAATTTTTTTCAAAAGGCAACGGAAAGAAATTTACCGTTAGTTCCATCCATATTAAATATTATCCATCTACCGTAAAAGCCATCACTCAACGAAGAACCTCGATTTCTGCTCTTACCGTGCAATGCCTTCTGGATAATAGATTACGCTTCTGCAATACTCTTGAATTTACAGCAAAAACGTTTGTTCAAACAGCAAGGTTTTCAACCCAAATGATTTTTCCTATGTTTTCAATATTTCTCCCTCATGTACTATATATTTTTGCTCTAACAATACACACGTTAAAAGCATTTTTTTTTCTTTTCAGTGAGAATATCTTAATGATTTTCTCACGGAAATGCTTCTCATGACTGGATACGATTGATTGGTTAATTACCTATATCACACTATTAACAACCATTAATTCTAAAAGAAAGATTTTTTTGTGGTCACCCACTGTGTTTCGCTTTGCTTTGCTTTACGACTGTAAACTGATTTATAAATTATCCAGTTTTCAAGTTTCAAATTATCTGGTAATTTGGAACGGAAAGGATCTAATCTCCTGCTCATGTCAATGTCATGTACATCATCGCAAAACTTGTTCTATCTACATTGCTTCTGTATCACTAGTTCATCTCACATCCAGTGAAATCTTGGCATGTTCAGACTGGAGTAGGTCACCGGCCGATGGAATGCGGACCCAGGTCGTTCAATGTTGAAAAGCAGTCCCTTTTGTCCGGGTCTTAGATGTGAGAAATTCGCCATACTTTCTTGAACGACTGGAAAAAAAACAGAAGTGTTAGCTCCGGGACTAGTTGTGACTATGATTTTCATTGTCACCATTTTGCGCGTGCTCAAAACAAAGCAATTACGTCACCCACCTGATTTCGGCCAATGATCAGACTGATAGTGACACCACGTGACCACCACCTCGCTCATTCTTTGAAGGGTAACCTTCTTAGGATCACCGGAAAAGTCGAGTCCTGATAAGATTAAAAGAAATAAATTCTTAAGTTTTATGACAAAACGCAAGTTAAAACGATTGATTTTACTTTGTCTTCCACTTCCTTGAGTCATTAGGCCATTTTCACAATGACTACATTTGACTACAACTTTCGGCATTCATTTTGATTTTTCTTCCGTACTTAAATTTGTCAATCTCGTTGGAGTTTAACAGAAAGGAGCTCTAATTTGTAAAAGAAAACAACAAACTGAAGGATTCTGGTAGTTGTAGTAAGATGACGTCATCATGTCAGATTATCCTTTTTTAGCAAGAGAGGAAATTTTTATTGTAAGAAATTTTGGCTTTTTCGCATTTCAATAAAGCAGGAAAATTTTTCTTTATAGTTGCTTGAAACCAATCCCCTGGCCCAGGAACCCCTTCATATCATAAGTCAACTGATTTATGCCTCTAAGCAAAGTGTGACGACATCAGCGAAGCACCAGTAGCCTAACTAAGATCCATCACCAAACTACTCTGAAAAATCACATGGAGAATCAAATGATTACATTTATCAGTTGTGTAATCATTTTAAAATTAAAATCTTTTTCAGCTTCTCACCTGCTTTTCTTCTTTGCCATTGTTCAGACTTTCCTCTGTCTCCCACAAGTTCACCAGCTACAGAAAACACTTTAGGAGCGACAATGTTACTTCCCCAAAAGTTCCAGAATTCTCGAATGACGGAACCAAAAATACCCCCTGTGATAAAATGAAAACAAAGAAGTCGGTGAGTATTTCAAGAATCCTTTTTTTCGGGGGGACAACGTTTGTACAAACAAAATTTGGTATTTTCGCTTGTAGGATTGCTAAGCATTGTAAATCGTTTGAACTCGATGTCATACTAAGTAGGTGGAATATAATCGTCTGGGTTAGTGTAATCCTTAATAGGATTGTTTATGACAGTCACTGACGTTTCACGGAACTGTACAGAGGCCTATTATTAGAATCAAAATGAGTTGTGATCACCAGTTGATTTTATTACTCTACTTGTTAACCTGATTGAAGCTGTTGTGATGTTATTGGTCTTCCATTTGTCAAGCCTTGACGTTTTTGGCAAAGACTCTAATAAAGGCGGGGAGGTGTACATTTCGGCTCTTCTGTTATCATTATCTATTAATATTCATTATGTTTCATCAAGAGAGAATTATGGGACAAAGAAATAATCTTAGGGCGTTGGCTAGGCTATGTAAATTTTACTAAAGTTATTTTTAGAGGTTGTCATGAAACGGAAGTCTAACTCCTGAGCCGTCTGCACATCTTAATCAGTTTTTTTGAAACGTCATCAAGTACACGTGCTACTGCCTCAAAGCAAACCATTCAGAATATTGCAATGGTAACTGTTTAATTCTCTCTTTACAACACTGAATAAAAGTTTGCTGACCTCTCGCAATCAACTTCCGATTAATTTCAATCGTTTAATTGCTCTAATAATGACTTTGGTGAAATTCACATATCCTAAGGGATAGACTCTATCCCATTAATCTCTCCTGGTTTCGTATAGCAAAACATATTATTTTCAAAAAAACCTTATTTGAAAATTTTCTTACCAGAGAGCATACAATCCGTGCTCACATATTCCTGAGTGCTGCACTTGTTCCCCATGAGCCTTTGCGTCATGTCTCGGAACTTCATTGTAAGTACGGGATCCTGAAGTCTGGAGATGATTTCCCGTTTGCACAGCTCAAAGTGCATGTCATAACTCTGAAGACTGCTGGTTATCTTTTCTCTGAGCATCTTGTACAAAGAACTTACGCTTTTGTACTGGAACACTTTAAGCAGTGTCTGTACTTGGGAATTGATGATCATGTTCACTATCGCCTCCGTCACCATTTGGGACTGGTCAGCTGGAAAGTCGTGAATAACCATCTGCCACTGCGGTCGAGGAAAGGAAACAATTAGACACACGGGGCACGTAATATTTTTACAAAAATTACCAGGGCAGTGGAAATCTTGTGCATAAACATAAAAATTATAAATTTAACGAGGTGGGTGAAACAACCCGCTAAAAGGTCCATCCAAATCAGCTGAACAGATTAAAATATGCAGAAAAATGTTTTCTGAAGCGTCCCCGACGGAATAGCGCGAATCATGTGATTTCCAAACCGGATCTTCCGGTTTTCCAATGTAAATGGTAAGTGCCCGTTGTCATAATGTTTGCACTGTATCTTTTCCAGGGTAGAAAAGGAAGCCATTTGATTTAGATTTTTTTAAAACACTCAGCAGCAATTATTGTAAATTTTATACTATTTTATTTTCTCCTACATATAAGTTTTGACTCCTTTTTCCAAACGAGCCATCATCCACTGCCGACAGTTAAGTGGCTTTTACAGATATTGACCTTTCTGACGGTTTCTATTTCTACTATTTGGTATATTTAAATAAAATATATGTTTTCAGTTTTATTCTTCATTTAATTTGTTTTACTCACAATGAAGGTTCAAGAAACTTTTGATGCTTTACCTTAGGCGAAAAGAAATCCTCCCGAGGCGTAGAACACAGGCGAGCCAGTGTTTTCATGTGATGAATTTGCCCTTCCTTTGATCCTTGTCTGTAAAGCGTCGCCATAACAACAGGCCACCCCATAACGTTACGAGAAATCATCCGGGTTTCTAACAAATTAAATCCGGGAACAACGTCATTGAAAGTCTGGCAAAGTAAGTATAGTTTCCCGTACGTGATTGTATTTTGATCATGTGACAGTGCCCTTTGGAAGAGAGTCTCTGACTCGGGCAACGTTAAGCAAACATACTGATCTTCTTCATCCAATGAATAGCCCCTTAGTAAACCTACGGAAAGCGAAGCAGGAAAATGGGTAACACTAGCGTCTTTTTCCAGTAAATTGTCGTTCTCGGCATGTGGTCGCTTTCTAGACTTGTATTTCTTTCCGTCAGTCGATGAAGAAGAACTCTGTGAAGAAAAAAATCGGAAAAAACACTGTTATAAGTATTTTTGTCTCATTGCCAGATCAGAAAATCTAATGGCGGAATCATTCTGTTAAATCTTTAATTAACCAGTTTTGGGGCAATGTGAATATTTTTAGATTTCTTTAAGGGTGCACTCGACTATCACATGATAGTGCACGTGATTATCTTCAGGTGAGCACGTGATTGTTTCTCGGCAGCGCGAGTGACAGCCCCATGACAGTGTACTCTTAACTACAAGTTACAACAGTAACTTGTTGTGCAACAGACTTGCTTTATTACCTCCCGTTTTTCTGCCTTTTCCTCTGTGTTTTCCTCTTGTTCGTTGTTCTGTTTCGCGTTCTGTTTGTTGTTCGAGTTTCTATCTGGTGTTGCTCTTCTTGCTTGAGGTCTGAAGTGATCGTGCGTTCCTTTAGATTCAAAATAAATCCCATCCTCTTGATGAACCCAGAAATGAGTCACAGGATACCCATTGTTTCCTAAAGGAAAAAGGAATTCAATTAAATGACGTTGTGTAGTATACCTTCAACGGCGTTCTCAAAGGTTGCTACGTAAGGCTGTCAAATGTCAGTGCTAGATTTTATCAAAGAAACACCTGAGAAAACGTGGTTAATAGAGTGCCGAAATTAAGGCAAAAACAGTTCCGTTGAACTAGGAAGTATTAAACATTTATTTTCACGTAATATTGATTATTTTTATGATTACCTGTGCACTTTCTGTGAACTAGTTTTCCAGCACATGTGGCATTGGGGCAGTTTTGACCCATTTGTCTTTCTCGAACTGCAAATAATGAATTAAAAAGGTTTATAACAATCATTACACTTGAGTTAGACTACGAGTAGTCCCCCATTTTTCCTCAAGGATAGTAGGGCGAGTGAAACGCGAGCGCGCGTGAGAATCACACCACCTTTTCTCGCGTGGGGCGATTTTCACGCGCGCTCTCGTTTCGCACGCTCTACTATCCATGAGGAAAAATGTGGGACTACTCGTAGCCTACACTTGAGTGAACGATTCGCCATCGCGTAATAAAGGGTTCAGTGAGCAGATGATGTTGGAAGGCGGTCACTTTTCAACGCATCAGTAAGGTAAAGAGAAGCCTGGCTGTTAGTCAGTTTTGGCAATGGCATATGAAGGCACCATGACAAAAACAATTGTGGCAAATAAAGAGAAATTTGTTTAAGATACGCTGGTAAATACAAGCCGTGTGAAACTAAAACTGAAAAGGTTTTATTTAAATGGTAAAAACATAGGATTTTTCCCAGAAACTTAAAAATTAGAAATATCGATTACACTAATATTTCCATAACTGACCGCTATAAAAAAGGGGTTCAATTAAAACCTGGGTGACTTCGTTTCAACAAACTTTACCTTTATCAGAAATAGCGGGTCTAACGACAATCTTGAGTCCATTTGGTAGAGTACAATCCTTACTACAAAGCAGTACACCGACACAGGTCTTCTTTAGTACAAATTTGTTGTGATTGTTTGTGTATTTCATTGCCCACCCAGAGATGTGTGCCTGCGCCTCTCGGCTGTAGGGTGAGTAACGAAGTTTTGTAGATCCGTCAATCCATTCTTCGAATTCGTCATATTCCTTGATCGCCTTTTAAGAGTAAAATATATCAGTATGAGATGTGAGAATTGCAATGGTCGTATGTGCGATTCCCTTCAGTTTAAAGTGACAGGATCTTTGGAATTCTTCCAAGTCTTCGGGGAAATCAATTAAACGCTTAAGGAGAGCAAGGGTGGCGTAGTGGTGAAGGCACTCGTCTCTCACTAATGTGGCTCGGGTTCAGATCCTAGCTTCGATGCCATGTATAGGTTGAGTTTGTTGTTGGTTCTCTCTTTTGCTCTGAGGGGCTTTTTTCGAGGTACTCCGGTTTTCCCCTCTCCTCATAAACCAACATTTCCAAATTCTAATTCGATCTGGAATGCACAGATACGTTTATACGAGTTTTTACGTGCTTCCAATTACTGGTATGAAGGTTTTATAGCTGGTCAAAAAGGCAAGATAACATTTTATTTATCAACATGTTAAAGGAGCATTCCCATAAGGATATGACATTGTCAAAGTTGAAATCGTCTACCAATCTTGTTCAAACAACGCAGTCCCTATAATAAGGTTTGTTTTAGTGCAGTTCTAGTGTCCAACTGCGTCATATTTCTTACTTATATCAACATTGCAAAACGGGATCATGTTTCTCTTTAAAAATACTACACTGGCACACAGTCTTTAAGTTACAATGCGCAGCTGCCTCACCTGTAAAATACCTGCCTCAGCTTCATTGGCGTGGAACGCTCTTTGTCGATCATGGACCATTCGATCGTGGCCTAAAAGGTAGTGATACGCGAACGCCCCTGGTACCGGATAGTGTATGGGTGCTTCAGGATACCAAAGAGTGGACCTAAGGAGCATAAATAAACAAATTTAGCCTGTGTTACACGCCGCACAGTAAAATACAGAGAATAAAGACCTTGAATGGCTGAAATAACTTGTCTTAGGCTACGGTTCCATATTTTTAGGTCAAAACTGAGCTAAAATTATAACTAAGTATCTCTCGTCACCTTTTTAAACAAGGAAATCTCCTAGAAAGATATCAAGTGGTTTTCTTGCAGGGAAAAAGAGCACAATCATTTTTTTTTGTATTTTTTTTTTAACAGCACATGAACTTGAGAAAGAGTGCCCAATTTGTTTCAACTTGTGATCTTTCTCCATTCTGGCAATGATATTCAAAGACACGGACTTATAGTTTAGGACGGTAATTTTTATCAAAACTTAACCACTACTATTTATTCCAATACAGCAAGCAGATCAGTCCTGGAGTCGTGTGGACATAAGGTTGCTCTCTCCAACGAGGTGTTAATTCGAGAAAGGAATCGAAAAGAAATACAAATTTACAAGATTTTTCTTAGGCTAAAAACAGCACACATGGGGAAAATGGTTTCTACTCACGATAATTTAAACTTCTTGTGAGGAATATGACACAAGTTACCACTAATAGTTCCCATCTGAACTGGAAATCTAAAAAATATATTAACAGTAAGAGACATTAATAATTTCATCTTTATTTCTCTATCCTAGAACTGATCGCTAAAAATAAAAGGTTTAAAAGATGTAATACGTTTTGTTCCTTGGTAAAATCTATGCCGATTTCTGAAGTAGCGTGACGTCATATCTTAGAAAACAGCAAAATTTTATCTTTGACTCTGAGGTTTAGAGAATAACATTTAGGAACTTTTTTAATTTTAAAAAAATGCATGGGATATTTAGCCCCCAATTACAACGATATTTACACTGCTTGATTTAGTCACGATATTCAAAATAACTATTCATGAATTCACCCACCCACCGGAAAATAATAGCACGTATTTGTTATTGCATCGCCAGGCGGAGCAGGCAGGCTACACGTATTGGGCAATATTTACCCTCGAAGAGAAATATAAAAATTATTTCTTCACATTCAACTCGTATTTTTCTTTAAGATTATGTTTTGTAGTGCAGTAGTTTTCAATAATCATCGGGGCACTGCTTAATCACACTTAAAAAATAAAATTTAAACCATTTTGTCGCCCCGTGATCACCAGTCGCCTGACAAACTAATGTAAACTTTCGAGACAAGAAGGTCCGTTAATTTCAGAAAGTAACAATTTCTCACACAATTTTTCACTCATGGACATTTTGAATAAAATTGTAATTTATAAATGAGAACTGTCTCCTTTTTAAGATACCCGAACCGCCGAAAATTGACGAATTTGTATTTAAACAAAGTTTTAAGTTGAATTAAAATGGTATTAAATGAATTGAAAGTTGATGCAATACTTTGTGAGAATATAAACTCTTGTTTTGCTAGCTCTAAAAAAATTATGAATTAAAGTAAAATGTTGCCATTTGGTAAAATAATAAGGGCCTTTTGCGTTTTTCTTTTAATGTTAAGTGACTTTTTTGTAAAGTACTTGAATTAAAACTCGCTCTTAATGTAGTCTTCTTTCGTCCTGTGCTCGTGCCAACGGCCAAATAATTTGAATATATGAGAAGGAATATCCCAGTTTTAGTTTTTCGAAGGTCGGAAAACAAATAGTACAATTGAAAATATAAGCAAAGGGCTGGGTCACACTATAATAGCATCTCTGCCCAAAGACTGCATAGTTTACTAAATAAATAGCACCATTTGAAAGTACTGCTGAGGAGGTTTCATTTAAATGGCCACACCATAGGATTTCATCCACAGACGTTAGAACTAAATACTAAACAAACAGCATCATATGAAAGTACCGCTAAAGCCGAGGTTTCATTTGAATGGTCACACTTAGTATTTCGTCCAAGGACTAGCTGTCGTTTGATCTCGTATTCACTGGAATCGGTTTCAGCTCTCTCTTTCCATACTCATCTTGAATCACCCACTTAGTAAACCATGCAATGAACAAATTTTTCTCTTTACTGTCAAAAATCTTTTATTAGCGTATTGAATTTGCAAAACCGTTTCCTCTCGAAGTGAGCTCTCGTTCTTAACTTCTTTGTATCCGTCACGAAGCTTTTCACACCAGCATACTTCTAAAGGAATACTTATTAAACCGCATTTAATCGAGGTTCGAATATTTACCCGTCTGTAGTAATGGATGCCAAAGCGCGGTTAAACTTTGCAATTATCTCTCCGTCTTCTGTAGATGAAGAAAAGGGAACATGACAAGCATTAGAAGGTAGAAGAACATCGAGAGATATGAGATCAACGAAGAATTTGGGATCCATCAAATCGTCATAAGTATTAAGCCCGAGTGAGTATAACAAAAGTTACACTTACGCTATACTAAATGAAATACTTGAAAGTTTCTTTCCTGAAAGTTTCTGTCCTTGCCAATTGCAAACCAGAATTCATTCACACAGTCGATAGCAATTAAGAAGTTTAAAAAACAGCTCCGTAGCCTTAGCTATTGGAAAATGTTGCTTAAGGGCTTTATTTCAGTAAATAGTTGTACTAAGAATATCTTTCACAAGTACAGCGTACTTTAACAATACAAATACTTAAATGAAACGGTTAACCTGTAACTGAAGTTGATCATAAAACGGCAAAACTTGCTGAAGATCTAAATGGTTATAAAAAGAGTACTTTTTCCTATTCACTAAGTTTTGGTAATGTCAGTCCTAACTCAAAGGAGAGAGGGTAGATAGTATACTTGTTAGCTTTTTGAAGTTTCATCGTGTCTCGAAAATACTTACGATTTTCGACTCTTCTCTCTTGAGTTTCCTCTGTCTTTAATGATTCCAAACTCATTACGTTTCACGCGCCCCCTAATTCTCCTTTTATCTTTCGGCAGTTCCTTAAACAAGAAACAGGGGGGGAAAAAAATTGAAAAGCAATGTAATTAAACACATTCGACCTGTTAAGAGAGGGTGTTAAAACGTTGCTTGTTCTCTTGGAGGTGAGCTAAAATGTCCCGGCTTTTAAGTACACAAAAGTAATTAGAATGTTATCAAAAGTCCATCTTCAAAGGGTTTAACGCAGAGGTTTTATCTCGAGCCATTTTATTTGGCAATCTGCTGTTACAATCGACTAATCGCAGTGGTTATATATTTTATAAGAAACGTTAGGGGTTTGAAGAGTTCGCGCCAGAGTAAATATGTCAAAAGACGACGAAAGACAAGGTCGATATTCTTGGTAACATTTTTGCGGAAGCAGGGTAAATACATTTCAAAGAGTACGGCAATCAGTTCTAGCGCAATTAAGATAGAGAATTTTTCTTTGTTTTTAAAAATTTTTTGTTGCAGGACCCCGCGCTTCTCGCCTTTTGATAGGGGGAAAATCAGACGCTCTGAGGGAAGCCGGTCTATTAGAACATACCGTCCATTAATAGCATTCAGAATGCAAAATGGCCCGTAAAAATAACATCAAGAAAAGAAAAAGAGCTCATTAATATCACATCATATAAAAAACGAGGTTACTTTAATGGGAAAAGCTGACCCGCCAAATAATAATAAAAAACATCGATTTTAGTTTCTTCTTCATTTAGAAACCAGCTGCAATTTTGGGGCATTGACTATCTGCACGAACATTTTTAACATTTCCAGTCCATATCAAGTTAACTGCGAGTTGTTTACCTCAACTTCTAATTCTTCGCGTAATCTTGTCATTTTATAGTTCCGGCAAATGAAAAAAATTATCTTGGCTTTTTCTTATGCATCAAGCAGCTTTAATTTGTGTCTTTTCCGTTTTTTGGCTTCAAACAAAAGCGCAAGAAAGTGTATTATTCATAAATGATTTGATGCTCGTCCAAATGCAAAACTTAACCGTCCGCTAAGAATTAATCGAGCTGCTCCAGTACTAAAATTATTTTTAAAAAAAGATGCATGCACATCGACTCTCAAATATCTTCCTAGCTGGACTTTATTGAATTAAAATGAGCGATTAGAAACCTGCTTTAAGGTTAACATGAAAGTTTAGTTATTTAAGTGAAAAAGTGCATTTGTATCATAACTCATACGTGCACTCAGTTTTAAAGTTTCTATTCAATAACTGATTTTGTTCCGATCGTTTTCGGGGGACTGTACTCGGAAACTTATGATTGTACTTAAAATGAGCAGAATGAGAAAAGGAAAACATCGCACTTCAGTCAAATTAAGGACAAAAATGGATTTTTGAGAGTCAAAACTATTAACGGATAAAGCTCACAGATAAATTTCGCGCGGTACGTTTTCAGTTTCATCGGTCACCCGTCGAGTCAACATAACATGTAACAACCCAAGAAACAAAATTCTAACTTTTCAGTCTGCTATAAAATCTTCTGATCTGACCAATCAAATGCAAACCTTATTTCGATATTACTTTTACAACACGCGAGTAGTTGTTGTTTTTTTTTTGAAACAATATATGCAATTTTCTTGAAATTTGCTTCTTAGACGCTCTTGGGTTTTTCACTACTTACCATTGAAACTTTATTCAGAGAAAAACAGTGAGTCCTTGAAACGAACTGAAGGGCACTAGCAGAAATTACTTGTTAACGAGAGATAAATTTCCTTCTAATGTCAGATGATTTCAAGAGGTTCCAAACCCATTTCCCAGCGGGTTTTTGAGAAAACAAACGAGGCAAAATAAACCGGACAATATTACACCGATCAGTTAATAACATGAAAAAAAAAATCCCTGCTTTCCCCTTTCGGCATAAATCAGTTTTGGACATTTTCTCTCGCAGCGGGGTCAAAGTGATCAACAATATCTAGCGGTGCAGGAAAAAAATAACGCGTAAATATAATAATCTGTTACTTCACTTTATATGTAATTTTGCCCGCTCGCCAGTAAGCATTTGGTTCGGTCTCAAATTTGCTGCCCCCGATAAATCAAACTTTGCGAAGTTTTACGGTTAATTACTTACCTGTGGGGTGTTAGCAGATTAGTAAATTAGTCGTTTTGTGATCAAGCATATTCGGACAGAAAAAAAGTACGAAACTTACCGGCAATACTTCCAATGAAGAAATTTCGACTTGAATTTTTTTTTTGCGAAAGCGGATTTCAAGTGCCTTGTTTAAGATGCGTACTCTTTGGCTGGAAACTGTGAAATGGCGAGTTTTAAAAGTGCTTGATTATCAATTCCGCGCATTGGTTAAACTTTCACAATGCTGGGAATTTTGCCGGGAACACCATATGTGCCCGCGATTCACCTGTTCCGAGTCTAAACAGTGAACAATCGAGGGGTTGTCACAGGTCACGTGACGCGCTGAAGTATCGAAAAATGACAGATTTCATATTTACTGAGATGTTGGTCAAGATAAATAATGATACAAGCTACATATTGGCCTTTAATAAGCTCATCTTGGCTCTGAAGGTGTTTGCAAAAGGCAAGAGATATCCCGCTCTCGGGGAAGAGTGAAAAATGTTTGTGTCTTGAAAACTGTCGAGCGTTGAACGCGAAGCGAGGGTGCCGGCCGCAGTGAAAAGGGAAGGAAAAAAAAACAGCGGCTAACATGGAATCGTTAACAAACTTGGAATGGACAAATGGGAAATCAATTATTAGCTGAGAACGGAACAGATGCAAGATTTCACTAATACAAAGGCAGTTATAGTTGGTAATGGGCATTTAATCATGCGCTATTTGCGCGGCAGTTTATTAATTCAAACACGGGTACAAAGCAACACTTGCGAAAAAGGGTCTTTTGCAGGGGTAATTTTGGCCGGTTGTTTCACGGTCTAAAATAACCATAACAACACAAGGCGAAGCGTTATGAAAACATATCCGCAAGAAAATTCAATGCGGAACGCGCGCGGTACGGTTGAAAGGAAAGATATGTTTATGCAAGATTTAGACATGCTATATGAGTAGGACTTGTGGCCGATTAATTGTGAATCTTTAGAGATAGCGCGCTCGGTGGCAAATCAAAATCTTAAAGATAACGTCAGAGTTCTAAAAGGGTATTTTGTTATTGTTTCGCCACACAGACAAAATCTGAGTATCCTTTTTAATGATTCATTACACCCAGGGAAGGAAATAAATCGTACGCTTGCTTTGCGAGCAATTGAGTTAATGCTTATGTGTGAGTTATATTTCGCCTCTGCAGTTTCTGAAATCCCTTTTGATCCTCAACGAGAAAAGCGTTCAAACGGTTTCATGTCGCTAGGATATGGACGGTTTTTACGGCGGATTATTTCTTGCCTTGTAAAAGAAAATTAATCACGAATGCAGATAAGAGGGCTGCAATGATAACATTGTGAGGCCAGTAAGACACGGTTTCCGTAACGGGTTATGAATTGAATAAATGATTTTGATATCGTCAAGATTTAAGATTATCTTTCATGGTCAGTTGTTTGGATATTCATGTTTCGTTTTTTAACACAGAAGGAAATGTTCCAAAACCAGCTTGTCTTTCTCACCGCCGTAGTTTGCGCTTCTCAAACAATTTGAATAATTTTGTAATCCAGTTTTCTCTTTATTTGCTTACCGCGCTGAAAGTTTTAGACCAGTTTGCACTGACTAAAACGTGTAGCTTCAAAGTTTACAGTTTGAATCCAAGGCGCGGGCGACAGTATTGCTTTGAGGCCAGTAACAAAAAGACAAAATCAGTTCGTTTCGCAATCGGCGAATGTTTTTGAAACATCCGGCATTTGCGAAATCCGTGCATCCGAAACGAAACAAATGCACGTAAAATTCATGCACATATTTAAATATAATTTTGTCTAGCTCAATTACCTTGACATCAAAGGGTTTTGGTAAAACAATTATTGCGATGTTATGAAAAAAAAACATCACAGTTTTCCAACTGGTCGTGTGAAGATTTTTGAAGAAAAAAAACAGCAACAGCAACAAGAAAGTACTCGTCATTGCATTTTCATTAGTTATCTGAAATTTTTGTCTCAAGTAAAAAAAAGTCTGAATTCGTTTTCGTGTTTTTCATACAAAAACAGACGCTTTATTTTTAACGTCAAACCTATAAGACGATNCAGAAGGAAATGTTCCAAAACCAGCTTGTCTTTCTCACCGCCGTAGTTTGCGCTTCTCAAACAATTTGAATAATTTTGTAATCCAGTTTTCTCTTTATTTGCTTACCGCGCTGAAAGGTTTAGACCAGTTTGCACTGACTAAAACGTGTAGCTTCAAAGTTTACAGTTTGAATCCAAGGCGCGGGCGACAGTATTGCTTTGAGGCCAGTAACAAAAAGACAAAATCAGTTCGTTTTGCAATCGGCGAATGTTTTTGAAACATCCGGCATTTGCGAAATCCGTGCATCCGAAACGAAACAAATGCACGTAAAATTCATGCACATATTTAAATATAATTTTGTCTAGCTCAATTACCTTGACATCAAAGGGTTTTGGTAAAACAATTATTGCGATGTTATGAAAAAAAAAACATCACAGTTTTCCAACTGGTCGTGTGAAGATTTTTGAAGAAAAAAAACAGCAACAGCAACAAGGAAGTACTCGTCATTGCATTTTCATTAGTTATCTGAAATTTTTGTCTCAAGTAAAAAAAAGTCTGAATTCGTTTTCGTGTTTTTCATACAAAAACAGACGCTTTATTTTTAACGTCAAACCTATAAGACGATAACAGTTTTAGGGATTTTACTCACCGGCTAATTAACATAATGTTAACAAAATATACTGCTTTTTTAACCAGAAAACTAAACTTTTCCACAAAACACACAACTGCAGTATTTGTCACAGTGAGCATAAAATGTTGAGTGGTCTTGGCCGATTCGTTCGGGGACCCACCAATCCATTTAGCCGAAGCAAATAGTAGTGGCTTGTTTTTGGGGTGAGAGTATTGTTTTAAGACACTTATACGAAAACTCCGTTTTGCATATAAGCGAAACATTGTTTCAATCAACAATTAACACCTCTATAGCCCTGTTGCTCAAGGTAGCTTTTAAAAGGATTGGCTTTGCCCGACCGCACTTTAAAATTCATCGGAAATAAAAAGGCAAAGCTCCGGTTTTATTACACTTCTTTCCCGCGCAAGATGGATTATTTATAAATAAATTCATCGTTATGCTTGATACTCCTACTTAAGCTAATAAATGTTTATGAGGTGACTTTCTGAGCTTTCGTTTCTTCCGAGTGTCGAGTTTCATAATTAAAAGTACGCTACAGATAAAAAAGTGAAACTTTAAAGTGTTTTTAGCGTGAACAAAGGTAAAGATAAGTTTGACTCCGCTTTTCTTTTAGTCATAGATGTAATTTTAAAATGTAAGTAGTTTTTCAACTTTAAAAGCTTCCTACCCACCCTTCTCATCGCAGAAAAAAGTATGTTTTAATGCAACACATAGCATGTATAACTTTATAAAACCCCAAAGGAGCAAGCCCATTGGACTTCTGTAACGGTTAGGTTGGAATAGTTTTAACTGAAAAGCGATTTTACTAGCGCCCTATTTCTAGCTGATTTTTTGTGCAATAAGTTTAATCGCACAAGACAAGAACTGACGGGAATTATTTTGTAATCATGACTTCTAGCACAGACAAAGTAAGGAACATCAAACGATCAGACCATTGTCTGCCGTTAAGGTGGAGTTTAAGTCTATTACGAAATTTTTCGGTGAGGTTGCCAAGTTACCGGATTTAAATCAAAACATTTATTTTACAACTTTTTGCCCAAACTCTAAAACGTGACGAAAATTTTCCTAAAACAAAAACTCTTGTTTTGATAAGTCGAAAATATTTATTTCAAATTAGACTCATGATAAGTCAAGGGTATCGCGCGATTTGATCAAGTTTTCGATCAAGCATTTCATGTGGCCCGACACGCATTTCGCTTGCACTAACGGCATCTTGGCACTTTCAAAGTTGATTTGGGAGGTTTGTCCGTGCGTTTTTCCTATTTACTTAATGTATACTGGACTGTTCATATAACTGGACAAACTGCTCACTTAAATTGAATTGCGCAATGACAGAACATTTGTGACCCATCCCGGGGGGATGGGGTGGGGGGCGAGGGGACGAGAGACGTGCTCACTGCGGTGATATGTTTTAAACACACTTGACACATTCAGCCACATGGTACAGCCACAACGAGCAACCGAACAGATTTCTAATAAATATTTAAACAAAAAAGTAGGGAAGCAAGCTCGCGAGCGCACACTTCATTACGAAATGAGAATCTAACCATAAGGTAATAAATGGCATTTTTAAAGGTTTTTCTCACAATGTCTGTAACCCAGATTTTCGTCATTGGCGTTCCTTGGCAACCGCTCAGAATTAGACTTCAAATAACATGTTAGGCTTAAGGTTCTACTGGACTTAATAAGTTTTAATAACTTTGAGAAGTTCTTTCAAGTTCTCCGACTTATGGCTATTGAAAAAAAAGCTCAAGCTGTAGTGATTTCATTTGGTACTACTGATTATGCTGCATCATACAGACTTTTATTGGGTTTTACACGGGTTTTCACGATGTAATAAAATATTCTAACATTATTTTGAATCTGTGGATGAAATCCTATGGTGGTACCATTGAAATGAAACCGGCTCTTCGGCAGTACTTTCACATGGCACTATTTATTTAGAAGGTAGTTCTAACTCAGTTGGATCTTTGAATAAAGCCGCAGAGTTACCATTCGAGTAAAAATCCTTCAGCATTGCTTTAATGTGGCACAGTTGTTAGTTACTGTTGCGAAAAAGAATTGTGAGATTTCTTTCCTTTTGTTAAAGATGTTTTGAGCCGACTGGAAAGCCCTGAGATTTACTCACTTGATATGGTAAAACAGTAAAAGGGGGAACTGAATCGCACGCTTTCCCATCGTGCATAAAATATTACAAACTAGCGGTAATTTCGATGCATTTGTTTTTCGAAACAGGTGCGCAAACAGAAGTTGCCTACAAAGTAATTATAGTGCTAATTTTAAGCAAGAAACGTTTTAAGAAACCTATTTCTTCTTATATCAATTATTATCGGGGGAGTTTTCAAAGAAAGTTTCGAACATTTTTAATTGAAAAAGATATATTTGTAAGAAAGCGCGAGTTCTGTCACGTTTTTTGAAAGTATTTTAACCACGATAACTCATTAACCTTTTACAACATCTTAATTAATTTGCATTACTGATCAGAATATACATTGAAGAGAAAGACTTAGATGTCCAGTTTTGGTTTTGGCTTGCTCCTGTTGGTTGTTTATTGAAAAAGAAAAAGGTTAAAATCGATCCTAAAAGACTAGCAATTTTATAGAGCCATTTAAGTACGACGAGAAACACAACATAACCCATTCAAAAGCTTCGAATTCTACATTGTCTATTGCTCCACGCGCGCCCTCAATATTTTTACAACCAATCAAATGACGACTTGTTTGTTTTACAATGAAAGAAGATAAAACCAACACAAAACGGGCGTTTTCATTGACCAACTCACTAGAATAAATGTCCTATCACAGACAATTTTTCCTCTGTTTTGGCAACCGAATCTTAATTATTTACTGACCGTGCAATAAAATGAACGAAGAATATCTATCGATGAAAAGTTTGAAAGAAATTTCTCAGTAAACAGCGATAATTTTTGTCGGGGAAAAGAAGACTCTATTTGCTATGTGTACAATTCGATCGACTTCAGTTTTCTTCGTGGACTGGGAGACAACTAGCAAGGATTTCTTAAAGGGTATACGGTTTTCGTCGTCACAGAGAGAGATAAAAGTTCACATCTTTTACAATAAGAATACCACGAAACGAGAACTGCCCGAAGATTGTGAATGGATTGTGAAACATCCTTCTTTGACATGTTCGCCTGACGCCTCGTGGACGGCTCTTTTGACATATATTTTGCATTTCTACACACATATCTCGTGCAACTGTTCAAACAAACCCTGCAAACTTTGGTCAAAGCCTCACATCCACAATAAGTACAAGGCAAACGTCGTTTGCGGGGATGAAACTAGATATGAAGAGCTAGAGGCCATCTTGAAATTCAATAAAATTCCAGTTAAGATCATTAACGTTGGCGAAAAAACGTTACTGGACTTATTCCAGTATTCTTGTACGCAATGCAAAGTTATTTTCAAATCGAAGAAAGAGGCTGAATTTCATGACCACAGCAAGCATAATTATTTGTGCACCAATTCGAAGTGCGAAAAAAGTAAGCGAGAGAACGGGTTCTTCGCAAAGAGAGAATTAGAGGATCACTTGGTGGGCCAGAAACGCTGCGAATTTTGCCCCGAGAAAATCTTCTGTTCATCCAGGAAGCTCGAAGAACATATGGATAAAGCGCACAAGCGATGTGATTGCAGCTGCGAACGGTACTACGAGACTAAAGACGATTATTTTGAACATTTCTACAGTAATTTACCGCTTCCCTGCCTAGAAGATCCAAGCTGTTCCGATCGGTTTCCTAACATCGAAAACCAAGCTTTTCATCATAAAACAGTCCATGGGGCGACCTACCCATATTACTGTATGGCATGCTACAAAAAGAGATATTTGACGTGCGTTAAAACCGCCGAAGAACTCCTGAACCACGTGGAGGAGGAAAAGCATGGAGATGAAGAGTTTTCTTTTGCGCAAATACCGCTTCACATCGCATTAAATGGAGAGTAAAAATAAAATCTTGTTTATAAACAAAAACAAGAATCACCATTCTGTTCATCTAACATCCTAAATAAACTCTTTTGGGAGAAATTGGACAGTTAAACAGCTCGCGAAAGGAGATCGATAAGTAATTGTCATGAAATGTTTTCGGATCGTTAGCCGTGGGCCCGTGGCGTACTACACGGTGGCGGATTGATCGCTCCAGTTTCGCTTTTCCTCGCTTTTAAAATTAAAATATTCTCGATTGATTACCCTGGACGCTTCGTGATTGGCTACAGAAAATTTGGCGCCACTTTATAATCCATTCAGAAGATTAAACGATAAAATCCAAAACCAATAAGTTTATTTGATTACTGTATATTAGATTAAAAGCAAACTCTTCGTCCCACGCAGGAGCCGATTGCTTATAAAAGTAATCTGCTCCTGTTCCACGTAAGGTCAGAGCTGCATTTCAGAACCCGGGTAATTTTTTCTTGTGGAATAATCAGGAATCGTTGGCTTTGGAATCAGGAATCCAGCTCAAGGAATTCGGAATCCTCCTAATGATTGGAATCCGGAATCTACACCGTGAAATCCAGAATCCAAGAGGCGAAAACCCTCGAGAGCAAGCAAGGGTTTCGACTTAGTTCGCGTGTTTCCTTCACCCGTCCGCGCTCTGCTCATACATGCGCTTCTTGTTTCGCGAGCTACAGTACGCGGGACAGTACGCAACAATACTACGTCGATTCGCGGGTTCTAGCCAATCACCCGGTGGAAACAAAGACGTTGAGAATCTCCATACCTCATTTAAAGCCTTAAGCAATTTCCGCGGATTAGTTCTTGGTGCAACACGGAACACCAACAGTAGATTTTCACAATTCGAACTCTCTCTAGTAAACTTTACTATGCTATACAGTGAAATCTATATACTAAGCGGACACCCTTTACTCAAACGTTTCTTCCCATGATATATTAAGTAAAACGAAAACCTGTATTCTGAGCGGACACCTCCATTAACTCCCAATAGTGACCACAATCAATTTTCTCCTAACAAAATCAATATAAAATCAAGAGAAAAAGTTTATGAGAAATCCTGAAATGATCACCAAAGGGAACAAAATGCTTTTATTTTTTTTAAAAATTCCCTCAAATGATTTTTTAGGAATTGAATGGAGATCAGTTTGGAGAATGTTTTTTTTTTTTTGACGCGTAGAAAAAAGAAAGTGGAATCAAAACTTGAAGGTCAGCTGTGCTGCATGATGCCTTCATGTTTTGCTTTTTATCCCGGAATATTAACTAAAACATGATTATGGTTCGCTTACAGCTTGAACGGATTGTTGTCTTTTTCTAGGTCTCGAAGGGTCAACCTTTTAGTTACACATCTGAGAAAACACCCTTCTAAAGAATAGCGTAGCCACTTGTGGGAAAAAAACTGAGAAAAATTAACATGAAACTAACTGCCTGAAATTTTTAAAGTTGCTGCTCCAAAGTAAAAGGAAAGGATTTACCATGAAATGTACGAGTAATTATACTTAATGACTTTTTTCTCTCACTATTCCCCCCAAGAAAAAAACTTGAAAAATAAAATATACAAAGAAAACAAAAGAGCAAGGCTGTTTGCAAAATTCTTATATTGAGACCTAAGCGTTATTTTAACTTTACTGACATGTAATATTGTGTCAGATTCTAATGAGTGACCCCGTTTTCTGGCGGTGAACAAAGTTTGTAATTTTAATCAAACTAAAGAAAAAAAAAATAATAATAAGGCCATCCCCTCTTTTTTTTCGTTTACCGTCAAATGCGTTTCCTGACATTGGGTCGGTCGGACTGAAAAAAAAAAACCTAAAAAAAAAATCCCAAGAAGTCTCGGAATAGCAGGCCCTGGTACCCCAGGACGACGTCAAAAGTTAACATTCACATATTTGGAAGAACAAAATGCACAACATACTGTAAAAAATGTTCCTGTTTTTGTTCCTGTTTTTCTCTAAGCTGTTACTATGCTCAATTTTCTGATGAAAAGGATTATTTCAAGTGAAAAACGGTTGAACTACGTCGTTACGTTTGTTTTTGTTGAAAATGCCAAAAATTTGGGTCGGTCGGACGACAGTAATCGGAGAAAAAAAAAGGGAATGGCCTAATGTACAATTCAAACGTATAAAACCATTATTGTCAAACCTGGAGTTTAATATCGTCCATGATAAGTTAATTTCTAAAAGAGCATTTTTCTCAGTGCCAACAATACCTACGCTTCTTTTTAGAAAAGGTGTAAACATCGATTTGTTTGATCATGAACAGAGGAAATTTAAATATTTAGAAATGAATTTGTGTAGCGTGGCGCCTACAGTATTTGTTTGTTTTTGTATCGTGATAATTTGTTTATTTTTATAAAAATTGTTTGGTCGTCAGCTGGGTTGGTTCTCAGGCGTTTTAAGGCCGTTTTAGCAAAAATTCCACAAACCGAGATATAATGATGGAATCACGAGTTTAATTTTTCGTCTTACTCTTTCACTACACGCACGATTAATTTAAATAAGATTACGACTAAACTTGCCCGCCTCGGCAGAAAATTTTTTCCTCTTCGATGTCTCTTAGAGAAAATGAGTTCCTCTTACATTGTTTGACAGTCCTGTTGAGTTTGTAAAGGTGAACAAATGAACCGTAATGAACTTTGCCTGAGTACCGTGTTTACTCTTGAATGGGCACCGCCCACGAACGAGTGACGCACCGTACTCTCCGATCCCAAACACAATGCCGCGCTTATCGACTTTTTTGTGATGTTATTATTTTCAATGCTTTGACTGGTAACAAAGAAGACCAGAAGTTTGTTTGCCTTTTTAAACAAAACAAAAGAAAAGAAAGGATGTAGAAACGTGTTGTTGTGTACCTGTAGGCTACATTAAGAACTGTAGACTAAAAAAACCTGTTAACACGGGTCCCGACAAATGTTTGAACGGACAAATTTTTACCTGTGCAACCAGTTTCAACGGAACCGTGCAAATTCTCTTAGAGGTTGCAGTACTGTTTGCAGGGTCCCGTGTAAACGAAAGGCGGTTCCGTGAAAGCTTTTTCCCGTTCAAAAATTTGCCCGAACCTCCGTAAACGGTATCTTATTATTAGGAGTAAATGCGATAAGTACACGTAATGGCTTGCGTTCCCTCGTAGGTGAGATCGTCTTTACTGAGAGGACTCTGTTTCCCAAACCGAGTAGAACTCTGGGCACCAAATGAATGTTTTGATCTTGGTCTGGACTGATTACTTCATAGAAAAATTTTTGTTTTTCAAGAAACTGAAGTAGTAAATAAGCCATACGCACAACGTGGAAAAGTGGCTCTGATCATTTTTATTAAAAGCCTTGCATGTTATGGTGGCTCCACGTAAGGGAATCGAAGACAGTCTTGGACTGGATTCCACTCCGTGGATTCCAGATTCCAGGTACTGGATTCCGAATTCTCTGTCAGTGGAACTTGGATACCGGATTCCAATCGTTAGTGGGATTCCGGATTCCTTCAGCTGTATTCCGGATTCCAAAACCCAGGACTCAAATTCCACCACCAAAAATTTCCCAGATTCCAGAATCCGGATTCCATACTTTCATGGGGGGGATCATGGAATAGAAAAACTGCAACAGCTTAAGCTTCTAAGGTGATCTTTTGAAAGCCAAATAGACAATTTGGATTTTCATGCTCCTTGTAGGCCAATTAAAGTTAACTTTAATTTGTACAATTTTGGTATAAACGACAAATGAAAATGAAATGAGGTAACTAAAGTTGACTTAGATGTCTTAGATTAAAGACTGTTTCATTACTTATGTCAAAAAGGTTGGCTTGTCCACCTTTCACGTTATTGAAATCTAATCACAATTCAGATGCACCTCGTTTCTTGCAGTGACTTCGGATGCCTTTGTTCTTTTAGTGGGGAACATCAGATCACACCGTGACCCCCACACTTTGGTGAAGAGTGAAGAACAGGTTTTTGGACCGTTTATAGCGGAAGTGAATAAGTAGGAGCGAGGACTGAAACCCACTGAGACGTACGTAATCAAATATTCAGAAGTGTGGACTGGGTGTTGATGTGTGTGGACGACTTATTCCTGAAGATGCAAATCTGGCCACGGCAATGAGAACGTCGAAAGAGCAATATTTTTAGATGATTAGCAAAACAACAGCTTTGTACGTACCGCACTATTGGCGACGTGCAGTTGTCTAATTTCACGTTTATCGAGAACTTAAACAAATGACGATCAACTTTTTTTTTCTCTTTGAACTTCGACATTTTTCTAAGGAATTTAATTCCAGGGGAATTCGAACTGGCGCCTCCTATCGCGTGCAGCTCTCGCGTGAATTATTGCGACTCCCCCTTATGGAGAGCTTGCTCGCACGCCAAAGTTTCAAAGAACGTAAAGACACTCGAATCGTTGTCCTTTGGCAGTGGCGGATCTAGACCTTCAGATGGGGGGGGGGCGGTCATCCGGACCCTAAGTTAACAGGGGGGCGCGGTATCAAAAAAAGAATTTTTCGGCTCTTCAGGCCTCAGTTTGGTCTAAAAATCAGGGGGGGACCCAAACCCCCTGGGCCCCTCCCCTGGATCCGCCACTGTTTGGGTCCACTTCTTTCCTATCCACCCTCAGTCACACACCTTCTAACATTTTTATACTGTTTTGCTTTATAGTAACTCTTAGCGAGACCAGCCCATAAGTGGATTTCCATTGATACAGAAGTTTGACAAATCTTCGTAAAAGGGATCGCTTAACTATGATTTTGGGCATTCAATCATTCGCAAACATGCCGGTCATATTTTTGTTGGGTGGTCGCCTTGACGCTAGAGCTATGCCTTAATCAAATATCCTATTGTGCTTGATACAGAAGACAAACATATACGTGGTGCATTTGAATTAAATGCAATACAAATCAGCCCAGTTCATTAACACTTAGCTAATATTACAAACTAAGTTCAAAGCCGGCCGTCAACCGATTTGCACCAAAGAGGAATCGAAACACGCCACACAAAATGCGTGCTAAATATTTCCTGATAGACTGGGAAACAAACGGAGAGTTCTATTTGGAAGATATTTCAATATCTTCTCAAGCAAAGTTTTACCTTCATTTCTACGTGTTTTACCGAAGCAAGGACATACCGGCAAAACTGTTACCTCAGTTCAGATTTCTTCATGTGCCAAGGAATTCTACCGTAATGTCTTTTTGTGGAGTAGACTGGGAAGCTCTGTCAACTATTCTTATAGCTAGGAATCCCCGTGTTCTTATTCAAGAGAAAAGAGATATCATTTTCGCGTCCTCGGAACCGGAGCAAGTTTTTGCAGGGTTGATCGAAATATTAAAGGAAGAAAAAGTGATTTACAAAACCGCGGTAACAAAAGAATCAACTATCATGGACGAATTTAAATTCAAATGCGTCAACTGCAGGATGATTTTTCGAAACAAGAAGGAGCTGAAACAACATGATGATAGATTCTGTGGGTACTTTGAAGGTTGTCTGACAGGCAAGCATAAACGCAAAATAGGATTCTCAAACGAAGGGTCTGAATTTGAAGAAAAGATCTCGGAGGCTGATAAGTGCAATCCATGTACATCGAACTGCGTTCTCACTTATTGCCCTCATAGAAGCAGAAAGGAAGACATGAAAACAGTGCACAAAACAACTTATGTCGGCAAAACTCATCCCTGTTGGAGCAAACATGACACAAACGAGTTTAGTGCACATTTTTTCTATGGATACGATGCGTTGCCATGTTTGGCAGTGACAGGGTGCCCGCGCACATTCCGGACGCTTCAAGAACAAGCACATCATCACGTGACTGAACATGGCTGTCAGAAACCTTATTTCTGCATTGTTTGTTATAAGTTGTTGAAAGTGAAATGCTTCGAGAGCGAAACTGAGTTGTTGTATCATGGCAAGCTTGAAGGCCACTGTGAACCGGATTTTTCTTTTGCATAACTTGCTAGCGTGTCCATTTTCAAAAGCGCCCAAACGAGAACAGTGTGCAAAGAACAAGTTTCCGCGAGCATTGCACGAAGGCTACTTACACCCCAGCTTTTGCACAGATAAAGTACACCTTTTATCGCCCTTACTTCATGGAAAATATTGTGTTCCTTCTCATAACCCTTCCAAAGAGAAAAGTGAGCAAAATTTAGCTCTCTAACGACTCATCTATCGACCTCCATCTGCAGACTCGCCAACCCCCAGAAGACAAAAACTGTGAGATTCTGAACCTTAAGCTGGAAAAAGCAGTAAGAAATGGGTAAAAAGTAGTTCCAAATTTCCAAGTGGACGGACCTCTAAAAGGGATTATGGGTATTAGAACAGGAAGTCAGCTATCGCTTTAATGCTGGAGCTGTAAACATCACGATCAATTTTACGATTTGGGTTTTGTAATAGGCCACTTCCGAGTTCCAAAAACTCTCACTTTCAAAATAAGGCTAGGTGAACAACCTTTCTTATGAAAATGAGTTTTATTTGCATGGGAATGAAAAATGATTTCCGTATCAAAGGGTGAGCACCTACCCTCGTTTTGAAACAGAGGCCCGGGGGAACTCGAAAATGGCCTATTTCTTTGTTAAGTTGGCTGCCATCTTGAAACATGAGAAACTAAGTCTGCGCATTTGGTGGCAGCGGCAAGTCGCGGTGCGACTGCCAAAGGTTTTCTTTGGACTGAGCCGGCTATCTATCGATATCTAACTTGGAAACGAACCCCACAGCTCCATAACTTTTTTGGAGTTTGACGTTTCGAGAAAGCGTGAGAAATCAGTTGCCAACTCGTGAGAGCGTGAGATAGGTCGTGAAATCGCGAGACTCAAAGTCGTGAGACTTGGCAAGTCTGCATCTGTCTCTGAATAACTTTTTCACCGGCAGATTCAAAGCTGGATCTGTAAATGGGCTAAGCCGAGCTATTTGCTATCTATTTAGAAAGTTTACACTTGTCTTCGCATCAATTGAATTCCAAAAATAACTAGTTTTGTTTTTGCTTGTTTGTTTGCTTTTTCGATACAATATTTAGGCACTGAAACTGTTTCCTTTCGTCTGTTGCAAGGGATGAACATAGATTGAAACTTGAAAGAGTTGGGCCAACTTGTTCAAGTCTACTATGCCTGCAAAAATAACCATAGAACTATTGGCCCAGTTATTTAAACGGAGTTTAGCCACTGTTTAACAAAGCCGCGTTCTAAGCCATTTTCAGTTCGCCCAATACTTTTATCGTGAAAAGTTTCATGAAAGCATAAGGCGTAGACTGGAAAAGCACTTATTTTCCTAAAATTACTCACTGAGGAAGATATCTGAAGGTCCAAAGATTTGCTAAACCGCGGCCCGAGTTAGATTTCGTTTAAATAACCGACCTATTACGTTTAGTGCTTCCAGATGAAATTTGTTTGGTAAACCGCATCTTCTTCACTATCTACTAGAGAATTTTGAATATGTATAAAGGCACCCCGCATGCAAAGCCTCTTTCTGTCTTCTTCTTGAGTGAGGAGGAGAAAAGGAGTTTCTGCCTGAATCGCGTCAAACCTTTGAAGTTGCCGCAACCCCTTTTGTACAAGTCAGTCTTGTTCTCTCGAGAGAGACAATTTCTTTTTTCGAGCGCAAGCATCCGTTTATTGATAAACTGATGTTCATAACCGAGCCCGCTGTAGCAAGAACACCGCCATTAAAGGCCTGGGTTCCAAACTACATCCTGGCAACATTCCGCGCATGCTCAACAGAGCTCTTACTCGATTCATACGGAGTGCATTCTACCACGTGACCAAGAAACGACGGGCTCTGGGGACGAGAATGTGCGGAGTGTTTCTCGAGTACGCAAAAATCAAGCAAACGAAAGAAATGCACTGCTGACAGGGTGGGGTAAACGAACTAAGTAATGACTACAGCACAGTTTTAACCAAAAACAGGGGAGTTTAAGCAATGACGTCGTCAACCGGAAGAGGACGTTTTGTACCTTTCGACCGTAATTAGGAACAAATTCATGGGCAGATCGTCGCTATTTAACAATTATTCCTCGAGCCCGAATATGCTCTGAGTCAATATCCCATGAGGCCCAAGGGGCTATTGACTCAGAGGCCATGAGGAGGAGAGGAATAATTGTTTTAGTAAAATAGAACTTGTTGATAAAAAATATCGAGACAAAACAACTTTAGCTAGCAAAACGCGATTCAACCGCCATTGTTTTGGTTTACAAAGCCGGCTCTTTTCGCTATTGGTGGGTTATAACATATAGCCTAGTAGTAGCTCAACCAATCAAAACGCAGCATTCATTGATAACAGACCACTAGTTGGATTTTACTAAAAGAGTAAAGACATGCAGCAATCCAAATTTGATAGCGTCAAGGCATATTAAAAGGGAAAAAAGCTCACTTCCGGTTGACGTGCTTCGTTCAAAACCGTCGCTGCTTAAATTCCCTAATTATCCTCGTGACAGAGCCCCTTTACGCCCCAATATCCACATACAAATTCCCCAAACTGATCTCTATACATTTCCTTTAAGAATTAATTAAGAGAATTTGATAAAAGATCAAAGTATTTTCTCTTAGGTGATCATTTTTTTAATTCTCATAACCTCATCTCATGACAATGTACGGATATCGTTAGGAGAAAATTGCTGTTGGTCACTATTGGGACTTAAGGAGTTAACTACTACTGAAAGCCATAAACACGAGAAACAAATGACAAGATGGTGTTCGTTAGTGATATCTAGTTAAAACATGGACGGCAGTCTAACGTCGACATCAAGTCCTGATTTTATTTGCTTGGTCCGATAGTGGTCGAACATACCGGTGCCTTTTACTTTAACGTACAATTACTACGACAAAATGTTGGATTTTTGGAAAAAACAATAAAAATAACATATTAAAAATATCGAAGGTTTATGGTCATTACAGCACAAGCGTCTTTCTAGAAGATGACGGTAACAAAACTTCAACTAATTTAAAGCGAGGGTATCGTTAGTCAACTTTCAATACGAAAACATTCACTAACGATCATGAAAATAACGCTACCAAAATATTTTCATTTCAAAAATGACTTCTCTTCTGGTCGCGAGGAGTTTTTTTCGTTGTGTTTTGAGCCTTTCGAAACATTTACGTTTAACGATTTTATAAGTTAACATTAGGGGGTGATCATGTTATCAAATCTCATAACCTTTTTCTTGGCTATGTATTGACTTTGTTTGGAGAAAACTGGGACTGAAAGAGTTAACTTGAGAACAAAGCCTAACAACGTAAGCTAAGAAACATGAGAGTGCAGTAAAGGAATGTTCCCGGCTAAACAGGCTTTCAAGCCAACAAAACTTAAATGCAGGCAAAATGAAGACGGCTCTGAAGACCAGCAAGGCGAAACAAAACAGTTAAGCCTGACTTGAGAATTACGTCTTGCTTGATGTTCTGTTTTGGACCCCATACGTTAGTACAACAGGCCAAAACGAGCTAAAACAAACAGCGAAACTCTTTAATACTTCGAGCAAAATCAAGGCGAAAACATTTCTGCGAAAGAAAAAGCCCCGTTTCAAACATCAAAAATCATACTTGAGAGGAAAAAGAGAGGGAAAAATCGCCTTGCAAAGGGAGATAGAGACCTATAGATTCTAAGAGGAGTACGACTAAGGTAATTTTGGCGAGGAAAGGAGATAGCCGTCGTCATTCTAGTACGTCTTTAAAGAAAATGTCGTAGTGACAGAACAAGTTATCAAATGTTAGAAATTTTATCACTTTGCGATCGAGAGGGGGTTCAACCTCCTTCAGTAAAAATAACCATGTTAAATTTGCTGGTAAAAAAAGAAACTGAAGCATTCCGGGGTGTCTACTTTTTTCGAATACGTGAGAAAAACTTTAAGCCAAATCTCGTATTCGTACTTGTACTAATCTAAAGGTCTTCATTACCTGCATACTCCCGTATATCGACAGTTTCGCTACCTCGGAAAAAAGTGACTGCTTGCTGTCTTGGAATGCTATTGTGAGCTAAAACACCGGAAATGAAGCCCATTTGGCCAGGAACATAATAAGTAGGTTCAACCTCAGCACTACAACAGAACGTCTTTACAACAAACAAAAATTGGGACTAAACTAAAAGTGGTCCGAAGCTCCTATGAGTCAAGACGTGCAAGTTCCATAGTATAAGTGCCGATGGATTCCATATCGTACAAAACAAAGTAGATCTGCTTTAGGGACGATGCCATAACAGAAACAAAGTAGTTGGAGATTGCCTTGAGGATGGTCTGGGCTGCTATCTGCTTGGGGAAGTTGTTGCTGCTTTCAAGAGGAAAAGACAAAAGAAAATGAAAATTAGAATAAAATTCAATGGAGACAGTTCAGACCGAATTCAAGCATGAGTCTGTTGATGAAATCCCAGGGTGTGACCAATCAAATGAAACCTCTTCAGCAGTACTTTCACATGGTACTATTTATTTAGTACATAATTCTAACTTTTGGGCCAAATATTTAAACGAAGTCTAACTTAAGCCGCAGTTTAAGGAATCTTTGAATCTCCAGATGTCTTCTTTGGTGGGTTAGCATAGATGGCATTCAAAAGGAAAGAGCAAGTGTAAGTATACTTACGCCCCACTTCCAATTGACGGCATAGCAATTGATTTGATATTTTTCTCATCAGCTAATGTTAATATGTTCTTCACAGCTTTGTCCAGATTTTCAGTAGATTCAGTTTCATCTCCCCAGGTTGGGCTATGAACATGGATAACATACTGAGCTTTCAGATTTCGACCATCGCAGATAGCCGCTGTAAACAATACGAAGAGAGTGAACAGTTAGAACACTAAGCAATCCAGATCCAATAGATAGTAGAACAGGAGCTCTTTTTTTCCCGTTTTTAAGGGGAGCAAAGACAGTGCCATGGGGTCCCCTCGCTCGCTTTGTACCTGCCTTTGCTTTCTCAAAAAACAAAAAAAATAAGGAAGATCTGTGTTCTGCAACAGGCATCAACAAAACCTGGAGTAGAATCATGATCAACCCCTGTACTAAAGTTACTAAACTAGTGGGGAGGATGCTTAATAGAAACATGGAGATTAGGATTGCCGCTCCTCTTGTCGCCCGCAACCATATCTGGGAAAGAGTTACAGGGGTTGAGATGATCCAGGTTTTGTTGACGTTATTCTGCTATGTCACGTATAAAATCATTACCTGATGCTAGTTCTAATGGGCCATGGGATTCTGACAGTTTCTTCACTTCATCCTTGAACTCTTTACCACCTGCTTTCTCAAGTACTGATCCTGGAAAAGAAGAAAACAAGAGCTGTAAATTTGACCACAGTTAAACCTACGGCCTTCTGTGCTGAAGGTCCCAACTTTTATTTCCTCAGAGAGGAGGAAGAAGAAATTAAAATGAATAGTATGCGAAAATGTTATGGAAACCTGTAATGCTACACTTGAGAATAAAGAATACACACTCTTGATTTGAAATACATACCTACTTCACCACCAAGATAAAATGTTGCATTGGTTGGGTGCACAATAGCATCTGCTTCTATTGCAGCGATGTCTCCTTGAATAACTGACAACTGAATAATGCAATAATTGAAAATTAAGTCAAGATTGTGGGTAAGTTTTTGGGATTAAACTTTTACAGACACCATTGGCAGATTTAGGGGTGGGCTGAGAAGGTCGCCGCCACCCCTTTTTTTTTGAACTTCTGTATTATTTTTATAGAATTCCATCTCAGAACAATAAAAACTATCTAGAATAGAGCTGTTAAGTGTCGCATCCACCCCTTTCTGAATTTTCTGGATCCACCTGTGGACACCCATAATGTATGGTCATAAAAAAGGTTAATTGCTGTCATCAAGTTTTGAAGCAGCTGACATCTTGATCAATGGCTACATCAAGTTCAAGCTCAACCGTAACAGACCTGACCCCGGTACTAGTTCAAATGTTGGATAACGCTATCCACCGGATAAATCACTATCCAGCCAATAAGTATTGGAGAAACTAATAGCACCATCAACTAGATAGATATTTATCCAGTGGATAGTCCTATCCAGCCTTTGAACAACCGAGGACTGTGTTACAGGTTATGGCCCTTAATAACAGCTCTGAAAGGGTAACATTCCTCAAGCCATCAAGTTGCAATTCTGGCTTGTTCTTCAGACAAGTACTTTCCACATTTTGATTGTCTAAGATCAGTGCATGCTAACCTTTGTCTCAGAGATGATCTAACCCCAATAAGTAACCTTTGTGAAGCAATGCCGAGATCCTTTAGGGATCTGGGCCCCCAGTAGTGTTAATGACAGGATGTATGTTTTGAATTTCCATTCAACCTGACTGGCAAATCAACAATGGCATTTTTAATACGCCAATCATGGGCATACTCAAATCCTAGTACACAGGTGGGGGCTCAGACCAAGGATTTTGGCACTGTTTCACAGCTAGACTTAACCAGAGGTTTAGTTTTGTCTGGAGCACAGGCTTTGCCAGCAGAAGCTGCGCTGTCACAATTTGTTTACAGATCCAGGGGCCCGTTTCTCGAAAGCCCCAATAATTAACGGGCCCGGTAAGCTGTCTTCATTTACATTAAAGATTGAGGTTTCAATAGCTTTGCATCTAACATGATAAAACTATCAGTTAATGAAAAAAAATGGAGTAGTTTGCTAGCCAGGACCGGTGCTCTTATTCTTTATATTTCGATTTGAATATTCGATTTCAGGCCCGAAAAGTTACAAAAGTTAAGAAACAGACCCCAGGACACATAGCAAACCTTGTCCTACCATTCTGGGCCAGGTTTTTTGAAGCTGGGTTAAGATAACCTCAGGATAGTGCGAAATTTGAACTCATATATGAGAGCTAAAAACAAATTCAATTTAATTCTCTTTGCCTACAATTTGATGATTGGATACGCTAAAAACAATATAGAAAATATATGAGAGCGTGCTTTTGATGAAAAGAAAAAGAAGCCCAGGTTAAAATATTTAACCCTGGGTTAGCGCTAATTGGCTTCGTAACAACTGGGCCCTGAAGTCTCGTGCACAAACAGGGTCCACCTTGGAGCCACATAATGGACAGCTGCTCACTAAAATCTCATGACTGTATTGTATTATGCCCTGCAACTTGCATGTCAGTTTGTTTTTAACAGTGATAACAATGATGCCCCTACCTTTTGTCCCAAAAAGAGAGCTTTCTCGGAGAGCACAGAAATACCAGCTCCTGGTCCAAATTTATCAGCTCCTTTCTTTGCTGCAGGCTGGACAAGAAAAGAAAACATTCATTGAAAGAAATCATTAGTTGGGTGCAAAGGTGGTCTAGTGATGAATGCATATGCCTCCCATTATAGTTCAAATCCTGGTGTTGACACCATATAAGGTTTAACTTTGTTGTTGGTTCTCTCCTTTGCTCCAAGAGGTTCTTCTCTGGGTACTTCAGTTTTCCCCTCACCTCAAAAACCCATACTCACAAATTCCAATTCGAACAGGAATTGGGTAGATAAAGAACGGCCAAAAGGATGTGCTACCTCCATAACAGCTTCATTGAAGAAAGAACTGATGTTTTGGGTGTGTGCCAACAATGTCTTGCATATTTTGAGTCAAATCACATAAGCACTGTACTTACCCCCTTTTTCTTGCCTTTGCCAGAGGCTTGGGATTTTTCTGGTGTCTTTTTAGCTGGGCTGGCTGGCATTTTCTTGCCAGATGTCCCTGCTTTCTGTTTGGGTGCTGTACTCGCTTTAGGCTTCTTTGGTTTTAATTCCTCAGGTGCTACTAGTTTGCCACCTTTTCTTTTCTTCAGAAGTTCTGGATGAATATTAGGCAGAACACCTCCGGACGCAATTGTCACTCCTTTCAGCAACTGAGGGAAAAGGAATGATCATGAAAATACTGTTAAACCTTTCATTAAACACCCCTATTCTTGGGAAATTTGCCCTGAAAATAACCACAAAATCAGCTGTTTTTTACCGATCGCTTTTTGGCAAATTTGCCCCAAAAATTTCCACGAAATTCCTGCAAAATCGGCCAATTTTTCCACGAATTTGTCCCTAAAAATCCCGCACAATTTGACTTTTTTCCCCACGACCTTTCAGAAGCCCTGTTTCAAGCTACGTTTGACCATCAATACAAAATTAAGATAGTTAACCACGGCATTACTTTTTTTTGGATGGAGCCACTTGGATACTGAATATTTCAAAGTGGTGGACCCCATTTCTATTAAGTTAGTTCCCAGCATTAAAATAAAGAAAAAAGCAAAAACAAACAAGGAAGAACGTTTTCCTAGATCAATGAGTTCAACTGTATTCAGTAGTATAGCGTATTATAAACAACTGGTAATTTTCCTTAATATTTTATTTCCTATTTCTCCTATTGGAAAAATGAGAATTTTTTTTTTAAAAAAATACAAGGTTTTGTTCCCCTACAACAGTTTTTTCTGCACTCTCTTGCTTAACACATTTTTCTCAAGACAACTAAAAGAGAATGCAAGAAATAAAACTTGGCACTCATTTCACTTGCTTCTCTAAACTATACATCCCTTACCCAACACTGAGGTGAACATGGCCTCTCCCGGGCACAAAGAAGACAATGACATCAAAACGTGAATTTATTACTTGAATAAGAGACAGGGGCAAGACTGATTAACATGCCAGAAAAAAAATAATAAAACGTGGGAGCTGGGATATAAACAAGCAATCTTGAGGTGATTTTACGGAGGTATCAATGAAAGGAGTGGATTATTTTCAATGATCATAGCATTTTTACAACAAATTCCGTGAACGACAGCCGTTTGACCATGTTCACATGGTTGATATTTGTTCGAAATCTTGATCAGCAAAATGAAACAAAATCTGCTCCTTTTAATAAGATACGAAAAAGAAACTTCAGTAAATCGTATTTATCCACGCCGATCATTCAACAGTAGGTAGTAAGTCTTTATTTTGTGGCAAATATGATTGAAATAAGCTTTTATAAATTCAGTGCTAGGCTTTGTGCTTAGGGGTCAAGCAAGCTAACTCTCGTGGGCTAAACGTGGTTACACTAGTTGTATTGTCAACTGTGTTCGAGAATTTAATCCTTGTAAGATATGCCATGGGAGGACATATCACACGAAGCAGACAAGACGAATTCCAAAATAGATTTGCATGTAAATTTCAATTTGACAAAAAAGAACCATCTGCCAAGTTCACTTTGTCTCTTGACCACCATCAAATGATCGCTTCATGGGCGATCATCAAGCAGTAAACTCGTGTATGTAAGAAATCGTTAAAACTTACCTGATGTAATTCCTCGTCGTTGGCCACAGCGAGCAAAATATGTCGAGGGATGATCCTTGTTTTCTTATTATCCCTCGCGGCGTTCCCTGCGAGTTCTAAGATCTCGGCCGTCAAGTACTCCATCACGGCTGCTTGATATACGGGAGCACCCGATGCGATACGATAATGATGAGTTGCTTGCCTTAAATATCGGTGGACTCGGCTGACTGGGAATTGGAGGCCGGCTTTAGCCGAGCGAGAAATAGCTTTCGCCCTTTTCGCAGCCTTTCCACCTCTGGCAGACATGTTTCTTTACTGTAATCGCGGGAGACAGCCACACAACTCGCACACAACGAAGGCAAAATTAGCGTGAAGCGTTTGCGTCCGTCAGGGTGCGGATTAACCAATCAACTGACGGAAGCCAACAAAGCGCGCTTCCATATATGGAGTAAAGCGTCACTGTGCTCCAGCTTGGTTTCGCGTGGCGTCTGTTTTCGAACAAAGAAATCAGCTGAAAGGTGTTAGAGGAACAATTCAAAAGATCAGTTAAGCACCGCCTGACCTTACACTCAAAAGTTAAAACCATAGTATGTACTCACCGTGGTCGTTTACAGCCAATACAGCAAAACCACTGGAAACGTAACTGATTTGTCACGCAATCTTGGTGAAGATTTTTGTGTGACGTGCCAAAAATTCCAAAGGGGGTCACCCTGGTCTTAGTCTTGCGCGTAAAGGAACAACGCGCGCGCCAATCCCGCAAACTAAACATTCTGAAACCGTTTTGTGCATATAATTTACGATACTTTTCTTTAAAGTTCATTGAGGCATGTTTTGTTCCAGGCCACAGCATTCAAGAACAGCTCCTGGAAAGGTGTATTATGGGTAACGTGTGTGCATGGATGAGGTACAGGGGGGAGGAGTGGGGGATGATCAGATCTGGATAATCTAGAGCATCATAGACTGAGCCATAAAATGACCCATGTTAGTCATAAATCAATTCTGGGAAACTTCTCACCTACCCCTCCCCTAAACCAACATTTTGCCCTAAGTGAGAAGTAAGTGATAATGTTGACTTAAGGGATGGGTGGGTGGTCAGTTTCCAAGAAACCTAAATAGCTTTTGTATCTCACTGGAGCTACACAGCACAACAATATTTTTGGCTGAGTACATGAGGGGGCATCTTGCTGGATGACTGGACAGAAGTAAATTAAAAAAATTACAGATTTTTTACCAACAAAGCTGGTTATAAACAGGAGATGCTGCCACACGACAAATAAAAATAACAGTAGAACCTCTGCACAACAGCCGCGTTTGGGGCAGAGGATGGTGGTCGTTGTAGAGAGGTTTAAAACAAGGGTCAATGTATGGACTGTCTGCTAAAAAAGTGGTCATTGTAGGGACGTGGCCATTGTAGAGAGGTGGCCTTTAGTGAAGGTTTGTCAATAATTTTGTCTGTACTCAATGTTAACCAAGCATGTGAGATATCTGCATTAAAAAATATATCCATCAACTGCACAGCTGCTTGTCACTGTCCAGGGGGCACCCAATGAGAATATAGTTCAAAATCACTTAAACATAGCATTGTTAAACGTATTTTAGTGTGTAACGGGTAGATACAGGCATATTTTTATCCCATAAAAATTTTTCATCTGTTCGGATTTGCTAGCTGAAATTCTAGTGATCCGAAAATTATAGGGATCAAAACTTACCTTTTCGAAAATTTCAGCCAGAAAAAAGGCTCCCGAAAATTCTAGGAGACCTTTTTAGGGTAAAAATCTGATAAAAATGGGCAATTATACCAATTTTTTAGATGTTCGAAAATCCTAAGAGAGGCAGGCAAGCAAGAAATTTTACGTCAAATGTTCCGAAAATTCTAGATCTCAAATCTGAAAAACTTCATCTCTTACTAATTATATTTATTACTCATGTTTATCAATCATTGTTACATTGCTGCAGGAGGCAGCTAAGTGGTTAGAGCACTGGATTTGCAATTTGGAGTCCACGCGTGACCGTTACCTGGATTTGTTCTCAGTCCTCCTGAGTTCAATTCTTGACCATGCTTGTAAATAGCCAACTGGTTTGCTCACGGCCAGTTGGGATTCTTAACCCCATTATGTTGGATTTAAATTATTATCTGTTTCAAGCATTTGCTTGTCCCCACTAGCATTAGTACTAAAATTACTTCCGAGAATATATAACATAAATTTATTTATTTTCTTAAAAGGGTATTTTAAACAAAATAAACTACCTCTTTATTTACATGACATTACACTCCTCAAAAATCCATTTGGATTACAATTATATCCTTTGTTGCCCTGTGACATTGATGGAATTCACTTGATTGGCGGCTGTCAATAAGCCATGTCCTTCAATGATCAAACTAGGAAGGTTGCTGAATGACCCATAGTCCTGAAAAACCAGTATCAAAGTTATAATTAAAATGTACATTACTATGACCTCTGTTTTAAGACCTATCTTAACTCATGATCGGCAAGGACTGAGATCTAATTCTCAATAATCTTTCACTCCTAACAGAGCTACAGTAGGCCAAATAAAAATAAATTTGACAAAAAATTCAAGAATTTCTTTTAGTAAAATCATAATAAAAAGATGTTTCATTTGAATGATAACACTGTATGATTTTGCACACAGATTTCAAAAGTTAAATAGACAAAAACCTCGCTATCATATGGTAAACTTTGTAGCCCCTTTTCTGAGAGAGATTGAGGATCCCTAAACTGATATCCACTTTTAAGTTTTCACTCAACAGTATTATTTAAATTAATTAGAGGCAAAAAATGTCACAAAATAACATCTATTTAGTAAGCTGAGATCTTTATTTAAATAACATAAGTAACTTGTCGATAAAAGTAGTTTTTCTGGGGTGCTTTCCATTTAGCCTTCTAAATTTCAAGAATTTGAGTCAAATTGTTCATTCTACAAGGATAAAATTAATTGAAAAGCTATTCTTACCACCTTGGATCCTTTCTTTGCAGTTGGGTCTGTTTGGCACTCTTCATGCAAAGCTTGAAGTTTGACTAAGAATGAGCTAAAGTCTTCCAGCACCTAGTAAATTGTTTTAAAAAATCATTTTACTGTCAGACTTAAAAACAGAACAAATTGTCAAACACCCAAATTTTTTTCAAGTCAAAATGTTAACTGTGTTTTGACCAGTCACATTGGAAGTCAGATCAACCTAGAAAACTGCAAAGCCACAAACTATTAAGCTGGGTAATAACCATTTTTTTATTTTAAACCTTTTGTCTCTCACTGCTTTCTTGTAGTTTCTTTTTCTCACTTTCAAGCTTTGCTGAAATCCTAGTATAACAGAGAAAAAAACATTAATATTTTATCATTTACAGAAACAAAATTCTCTCCTTAACTTTAACGCTCTTTCCCAGAGTCACCAAAGTGCGAAAGATTCACATAAAACCTCTACAACAGTACTTCCTCATCCAATGGTACTAAAGTGAAACCTCTATTAACCGGACACCTTCGGGACCTTCCTAAGTGTCTACTTAATTGAGGCTGTCTGCTTAATATAGAGGCTGTAAAAATTGTACAATGTTTGTTAACTATCAACAATCAATGGTTACTCTGTACTGTGATAAAGTTGCATGTTATTAAAGAAGCTATCCAGAGTTCAAGTTCATTACCTTTCATTACCAACTTTAATTTGTTTGTAAACGCAAATTATTAACTAACTTCAGTTTTTATTTCAAAGATGTAACCCAACACTACTATTGTCAATTCAGTCTGGTGTCCACTTAATAGAGGTTTTTAACAATAGATATTAGCCAAATACAACTTATTTTGTTGTCCGCGTCTGCTTGATAGAGTTGCCCGCTGAATGTGGGTTCGTTATAAAGCGAAATATCAGACGTTCGTTTCGGGACCCAGCTTAGTGTCCGCTTAATAGAAGGTATCCACTTAATTGGGGGTCCGCTTAATAGAGGTTTCACTGTATTTTTATTGGTATGTAATTCTAGAATCCCGTGGTGCAGACTAGCAAACAACTTAACCTCCCCAGACTAATAATTAATTGTCTCTCCCATTCAGATGGTACTATCATTTTGTTTCTCTTTTATTTTGGAAAAAATGGTCAAGTAACATTCACCTCCCAACAATTAGAAGTTTACTCCTATTCTTGGGAGAGAGAGGTTTAAATGGCACTCATAATAAAAGGGTATGAGGATTCAAGTAAAGGATGTCCCTGAACATCTTTTTAATACACTGTACCCACTACCCTACCCTGCGAGCAGAGGCTACATTTTTGCTGTGTGAGCTGGTGTGCAAAAAGTAGCCTCTGCTGACAACTGTTCAATTTTCTATCGTGCGTGTGCAAAATTTGTCACGTGATTTGCAAGCGAAATCAATCATCAGGTTTGTCGTCAAATGGCGTAAGTTTCACAGGAATAAAAAAAAATCTGACAACTTTGATTTGCTACGCAATGCTCTAAACTGGTCAAGAACAGGAAAAAACCTGTTTTTTAAAATTTATTCATCCAGATTTCTGGACGGATTTGAATGATTGTTGGCAGAGGCTACTTTTCGCACGCCAGCTCACACAGCGAAATGTAGCTTCTGCTCGCAGGGTACCACTACCCATGCTGAATATAAATTTATTTATTTTCAGGCAAATAGAAATTATAACATTCTTTTATGCACAAAACTACCTTGTCCGTTTTTGTTGAACACTTAGGAGTTCTTTACGAAGCTTGTTCACCTTTGATTTTGCCTGAAAGGTAATCATGGGAATGTCCTGAAATTAATGGTTGATTGCTTGACTGGCCCTTACCACCAGAATATCGGGAACTGGTTTGGCATTGAGGTTTTCCAAACTCAAGGTTGCATGCTGCCCATTGGCTCATAAGTAGCTCATCCACCCTTTGGTGACAGGTCTTGTTTTTATCATGCTTGCAGCTAGATGCCAACGACCCATCAATGTGAGAGAATTGTAGTGGGGTACATTCTTACAAAAAAAATAACAGAGAGAGAGCCCTTGACCAGACATAAGAGTAATAACTTAGTATAATTATGATGGCACTTTTTATTGAATTGACAATATTATTGAAATGCTCACAAAAATACAAGATGCCATATTATTCCAAATGCCATCAAGATCTCATCTTTGAAATCAATCATTTTCATTCTATTTATCAAATTAAGTGAAATGCCTTAACCAAAATATGTGGAGGAATGTGTGGCTGAGCAGTTAACACCTCAAACTCCGGATCTGGAGGTCTGGGGTTCAAGCCCCGCCCGTCGCGTTGTTTCCTTAGACAAGAAACTTTACTCCACTTTTTCTCCCCTCACCCAGGTATATAAATGGGTAGCAGCGACATACTGCTGGGAGTAACCTTGTGATGGACCAACATCCCATCCAGGAGGGAGTAGCAATATTCCTAGGCATGCTTCAAGCTAAAGAAACTGGGATAAGCTCTGGCTGTTTGGGCCCTAAGCTCGTGTGTACCTTTACTTTATCAGAAACAAAGAAGTCATGTCCGTTGCCAGGGGCTGGTGGATCTTGCTATCAGGCAAGTGAATTCTGTTGTTAACTTGCCCAATGGGTTTTAAAGTGAAGTTTTTTGGGGGAATTGAAATTACAGAGGTACTATAATCAAAAATTTTGGGTGGGCTAGTTAAAGTGACTCTTGGGCTGGAACATGCTAGCTACAGCTTGCCCAAAGAACAAGCTGTATAACTGATTTTCTTTGAAACCTGGATGTCATATTTTACTAAACTCAATAAGATCTCATCTTTGAGTCCATAATTATTATTAAGAATTGTTACAGTTTTTTGTGTTAGGGATTTTTGGTCATTTAGCCTTTAATTTCTTTACTTTGTAGTCAAGATTCATTACCATAATCTAACTCTAACAGAAAAGATAGTAACAAAACAAAGCAAAATATCTCTGTCATACTGTACCTTTCTGAGGTCAGCTTTCAGCATGTGATTTTCTTTGTAAATATCAATCTGCAAAATAATTTATGGGAGAGTGAAAAATATATCACATATAGAAATGGATATCAAACAAGACCAGATGTACACCGCATAAGAAATTCATCCAAATATTGGTTTTTATGCCAAAGGCCAATTTACAATGAAATCATAAGGAGAGGCAGGCTCAATAAATAAATAAATAAATACCTATAATAGTATGACAATAAATACATAAATAAACAGTTGCGAGGACAAAGGAGAAAAAAAAGAGCCAAAGAATAATCTTCTAGGTACATGTATAATGCATTCACTAGGTCCTAGCTTTTTGTGCATGTATTGAAGCTGACTCATAAATCCAACATAAAATACCCTTAACTGTTTTTAATCAGTTGGGATCATTGACATATTTAAAGGGTAAAAGCATTGTGATTTGCAACAACCCCACTCCTTTTCTACCTTGTACATTATCATCATCATCATCATCATCATCATCATTATTATTATGTTATCAATATCATTAATGATCATTATCAATATTAAACCATTATCAAGCTATTATTATTATTAGAATTATAGTATTCATTATCAGTATCATCAACATTATCATCAACATCATCATCATCATCATCATCATCATCATCAGTAGGAAAGAGCATGCATGGAGGAGGCCCTATGTGTTTAGTCACAACATACAGTTTCACTGAAGGATTTTCTCATTTGAATGAAGAACTCCTTTATAGCCTGTTTACCAGCTGAAGACCTCATTTCGTTCCTGCAAAGTTTAAACGGAGGAAAAAAACAAAATGAGTTCATAACAGGTCAATAATCCTTTAAATAGGATAAACCAACTCCATGGAAACTTAAATTGATGACAAAATGCAGTCAGTGTGTTAATTATTGGGCTGCCTGTGAGTGAAACGCCCAATCAAGAAATGAGTCTCATCTATGTCAAAAAAGGACAAAATGGTGGATGGAGCTCCAAGAAAACTTTGCGTGTCCCACCCTCGCTTCATGGGGCTGATTCTTGCGTGGAGGGGAAGGTCATCTGGCGAACAGAATTGGAAGTTGATTTGGAATGAATACAAAATTATTGCGTGGAGTTATTGGCCCTATATTTTCACTGAATGATTATCTAAATACAGTATTTGATAATGTAGTTGGCCCGCGTGGCAGCTGCAAAATAATCCTTCCACGGGAAAAGTTTGATTTAAAAATATTTAGATCACATAGTAAGCCTAAAGACACTTATTGCCTTAAAGTGCCCATCACCCAAAATTTTTTATTTTCTTATCTGAAACTACACCTTATCAAAATAACTTCTGCGAAAAAATTTTGCGATTTGAGCCAAAGACGATTTTTTTAGAATTTTTTAAAAACGTTCAAATTTGCCGCCATTTTGACACACCATTCGTCTTAGTCTTCTCTCGGACTATGATGTACTTTAAGGAACATGTGACCTTATCGACAGGAAAACATTAAGAGTTCTGATAGGTTTTTCTTTTTCAGAAAAACTTTCTTCTTATGAAGACATTGTGATTCAATCCTTACTTGAAATTTATCTTTTTTGTGTACAGCTGGTGAAGNTAAGGAACATGTGACCTTATCGACAGGAAAACATTAAGAGTTCTGATAGGTTTTTCTTTTTCAGAAAAACTTTCTTCTTATGAAGACATTGTGATTCAATCCTTACTTGAAATTTATCTTTTTTGTGTACAGCTGGTGAAGGCAAGGTAATGCGAGTCTCTTAATTTACATCACATGACGTCATATGTGAGCTTGCTAGTTTGCATGATCAGCAGCGCAAGTGTACCGCAAAAATGTAGACTTCAAAAATTGGTAAAAAAATCACGTTTTGTTCAAACTGCAAAATTTTTTCGCAGAAGTTATTTTAATAAGGTATAGTTTCAGATAAGAAAGTAAAAAATTTTAGGTGATGGGCACCTTAAGCCACTCTCCCAATGAAAAAGTTTAACGTGTTGATGAAAAAAACAGCAGTTAGTAGTAGCTTTATTTTTCAACATCTGAGCTGAGATATCTTACTTTATAAGGAGGATCGCACCCAAGCACTATGATAATAAACAAATGCAAAAAAATATATATATTAAATGGATTGAGGAACAGAAATTTTCCTACCCTGGGTTCCAGGGTATCTTATTTTCTGACAGTTCATGGCAAAGCATCACTCCTCAAATAAATTGGCCAATGAAAAGTTTGTTACAACATTACGCTTATACTAGACATGAGCATGCAGAATTTGAATCAGAAACTATTGTGTGACAATGGAAGATGTAAAGCTGCTAACAAGAAATTTGCACGCCTGTCTGCAGGAAGTTACAAGCTCGTTTTGCTTGTCCAAGCTCGCCTGTTATTGTTACTAGAGTAGATTGATTTACTAATCACCTGATATCAAGGGCCTCTTCCTCTATTGCAGTAAGAATAACATCAAGATCTGTGATCTCTGAGATGCTATTCTTCCGTCCTTGATCCGCATTAAACAATCTCACAAAATTATTTTCTGGAGAAAGAAATAATTAAATTAGAGTGGGAAAAGTAGGAAATTTCCATTATCATCTTGACCTTGAGTTCTTTATTTTTTATCTTACTCTTTAAAACCTCGTATTTCTGATGGTAAAAATGAAAATGGGAAATTTTTGCCACAGTTGAACCTCTGCTAATGGCCACGTACCTCTCTACCACGGCCACAATTTTGGCCTGGTGAACAGTACTTTATTCTGTGAAAGGTTTGAACCCAGGAGTCATTTCATAAGTAGGTTGAGTTTAATCATCCGGGTGAACATATTCCTGAATAGGACTGTTTTTGTTGACAGTGACTGACGTTTTGACAACTTGAGCAGTAGTCATCTTCAGAGTCAAAAACGTCAGTCAGTGTCAACAAAAACAGTCCTATTCAGGACTACGTTCACCCAGACGATCAAACTCAATCTACCTTTGAGTACATTATTCATTGAATCATGTTATAAGCTCTTTATGACGCATATGGCTACCTCTCCAGAGTGGCAACAACCACTAAAATAACCTGTCCATCATGGCCACTTAAAAGTGAATGAATGATGTACAAAGTGATGTACCAAACTGTACCTAAATCACTTTGATTTATTTTGTTACCATAATTTTCTGTTCTTCACTTTTGGTTGTAAATTATTGACTGCAGTCTTGAAGTCGTTTTGAAAAAGCTTTTTTTGAGTTAAACAGTAATATCAGTAGCCATAAATTTCATTAATATTATTTTTGTTATTATTACCTCTGTACTCATTTTCTAGAGAATCCTCTTCCTCAGTTGTTTTTGATTCAGCGTCATCTTTTGTCCTTTTTCTGCCTCTTTTTGCCTTTAATTTTCCAGGACCAGACAGTGGTGTCTTCTCAAACAGAGACGAGGAATCAGTTAAAGGTTGAAGATGATCATCAGCATGTAGCAAAAAAAAATTTAAATTANTTTGAGTACATTATTCATTGAATCATGTTATAAGCTCTTTATGACGCATATGGCTACCTCTCCAGAGTGGCAACAACCACTAAAATAACCTGTCCATCATGGCCACTTAAAAGTGAATGAATGATGTACAAAGTGATGTACCAAACTGTACCTAAATCACTTTGATTTATTTTGTTACCATAATTTTCTGTTCTTCACTTTTGGTTGTAAATTATTGACTGCAGTCTTGAAGTCGTTTTGAAAAAGCTTTTTTTGAGTTAAACAGTAATATCAGTAGCCATAAATTTCATTAATATTATTTTTGTTATTATTACCTCTGTACTCATTTTCTAGAGAATCCTCTTCCTCAGTTGTTTTTGATTCAGCGTCATCTTTTGTCCTTTTTCTGCCTCTTTTTGCCTTTAATTTTCCAGGACCAGACAGTGGTGTCTTCTCAAACAGAGACGAGGAATCAGTTAAAGGTTGAAGATGATCATCAGCATGTAGCAAAAAAAAATTTAAATTAATTTATTAACTACTGAACTGTGGAGTTGATCATGAAATTTTCTTTGACCTCTTTTGTAGTATATTATATAAACGGAGTATATAAAACTGGCAAAATTTAAAAGATAATAAAACTGTCTTGTACCTTTTGCGATGGACTTGGTATTTTAATAACACTTGCTGCTTCATCTGTCAAAGATATCACAGGAACATTAATTGCAGCAGCTGGCCATGTTTCATTATAATAACGAAATGAAATTTTGCTTGCTCAGTTAATAAAAAATAATATTTGCTTGTCAGCAACACGACCAGTAAATAATGATATTACAATAATATTACTTTACCAGTGAATCAAAACGGTAATAACATTTTTACAAACTGCACACAACAGTGGAAGTAGAATAATTAAATAAATAAATTAATTAATTAAATACCCAAATTTTTGCACAAAAAATTTAAGAAAGGTTCATAATATTTCTGTGACACCTGATTCTGAGGTATCGGGCAGGTTGCAAAGAAAGTCAGTTTTACAGCTTTCTAGTCGAGCAAGCTGTAGTTAGCACATACTAGCCCGAACATCATTTTCACTAGCTGGAAAAAAAAAATTGGATGAGCAGGATTGATAACAGGTTTCCTGTTCTTCTCTTATTTGAATTACATGTACTGTACCCGAAAAAATTCATTTGCCTGTTACGCAATTAAGAACAGAATTCACTAGGCCGATAGCAATATCCACTGGCCCTCGGCTATCGGACTCGACTTTCTTTGCATGCTGATCAGTTAGAACATTTTTTGTGCCCATTTCTGTAAGAAAAATGATCACACCTGTTTGTAATAAATGAGCTTGCGGACTCTCCAATACAATTGAACTTGGACTTTCACGAGGCGCCCTTGACCTAAGGATGATTGGCATCTGGATAGGATCAGGTAAAACATTTACAGGGCTTGCCCACTCAACAACAGAAGAACTGCTGGTATCTTGTGGTTCAGGATCAAGTGCTGCTGTATGTTTTGGTACAGTAGACCTTGAGTTTGATGTAGTAGACGTCTCTAATGGAAGCTGAACTGGACTTGGGGCAATTGTAGATAGTTCTTGTGTCCTTGGAAGATCAGTAGATGACCCCTGTACAAAAAAAAAAACAACAACAACACATAAAGTTAACAAACAAACAAAACAACAGAGAAAAAAGGTTCCAAATTTTTTAATTAAGTTTGGTTTGAAAAGTATTTATATATGTAGACAAAAATATTAAATAGAATGATATGTGTGGAGAGAAGAACTCAGAAAAAAATTCTGAGTTCCAGATGGGAATTGAACCCACCACCTTCCAAACACTAGTCAGATGCTCTAACCACTGAGCTACTGATCTGAGAACTCTAGTGATGAGCAAGTCATTTGTGGGCTGACATAATGACCACATCGCGCAGTCACATTATGTCATATGAACAAAAGAAGTAGCTACATTGTGCAGTCACGTAAATGAAGACTAGCATTACAGTTGATTTCAGAGCTGTGTACTATACACCTGGATTTTTAGACATGATTCCGCAGTCATGATTCGGCTATCATGATTCGACCAAGAGGATACCAAGCAGTACAGCATTTTTCCTTGAATATCCTACCGGAATCAAAGCACAGGATCTAAAATTGACTTTGATGGTAGCTTGAATGTTTCTCTTGTAATTCAGGAAAAGGGGACTGTTGTTCTCCTTTTCAGACAACAGACTCTCACACAAGTCACACAATCTAATCGCAGTACAAGTTATCGCGTATGTTGTCTCAATCTATAAGTTTTTCAGCTTATTTCTTAGCCTTTTTATCAGGCTTCTACCTTGATTTTTGAAGAAATATTATACTTTATCCTTTTTTCAATGAAAACAAATGTTGCTTTCTTTTTCACAACAGGGTCATAGGTTGAGGACTGAACAGTGTTGATATTTTTCAAGGGTAGTGAAAAACAAAACATTCAAACTCTCCAGCAAATTCTTTCACAAGGGCGGACTGATCAATTTAAATGTTGGTATTGTTTCACCGCTTTCCACCCGATAAAGCTTTCCTCCTCAGGTAAAACACATTTGTCAGGATTTTAGCTTCATTACACTTACATCTCTTGGTGTTAATCAGTTTTTCTGTGATTTGAGTTTTCTTTATGAGTATTAAATTTTACGTGTTGAAATTTCGTGAGGCTTTTTATTCGTGAATCTTTAATTTCATGATTTTTTACAATTACAAAAAAAACACAAAACTTAAGACTGCAAAATTAAGTACCTGCAATAAGTTACATCTGCCAATCAGAATGTGGGATTCCATAGAATTCTAGCGGAGATTTACTAACATTATTACTGAATAGACAGACTGACTATGTATAAACCAGGGTACAGTTACTGCAAAATTAAGTACCTGCAATAAGTTACATCTGCCAATCAGAATGTGGGATTCCATAGAATTCTAGCGGAGATTTACTAACATTATTACTGAATAGACAGACTGACTATGTATAAACCAGGGTACAGTTGTTCAAAGACTGGATAACACTATCCACTGGATAAATCTCTATACAGTGGATAATGCAATTGGTTTCCCCAACACTTATTCAACTGATAGTGATTTAAGCAGTGGATAGCACTATCAAACTTTTGAACAACAGGGGCCTGTCCTGTAATTTAAAATTTGCACGTATTAACACCAACATTGCAAAATGTAGGTCAGAACCTCGCACCATAAAGCCAATCCTTAGGAGATACACCAGCTATAAAGTGGTTTCACAACAGGCAATGTAGCTAACAGCAGGGCCACATACTTAGAATTTCACCAGGGCCCATCACTTTGAAACCAAAGGAATCAGTGGAAAATTCTAACAATCATTTTTTGCAAAGGGAGACATGGGGGGAAGGGAAGCAAAAGCACTGTAAAAAAATATAAAACACTTGCTTGTGCAAAAATGCTACTCATACAAAATAGTGAATAGAAAAAACACACATGAACTGCTGAAAATCTTGCAAGCAGGCTGAGGTACCAGAACTAAGGGAATACAAACACTCGTACAACCCTGAAAAAGGCTGTAATGGTGATGAAGACAAAAGACTGGTAATGCTACAAGCTTTTTCCTCTGTTATACATATAAAGATCAACTTTATTTAAACCTTGGATTTACAGGGACGCTGTGAAAGCAAATACTTCTGCATCACATCATACAAAATGAAAAGATTAAGAAATGAATGGATAAAAGGATGGCAATTTGTTCTTACTTGACTGGAGATAATAGTGTTGGCAGTGGATGATGCATCACTGCTCCAGCTTGTTTTGATCTTAAAACTTCTCACAGTTGTCTGGCGTTTTCTACAAGACAAAAAAAAATGTTTAAACACTTCGGAAATTTATGGTCCACCAAAACACAATGCAGCCACACCTTACGTGGTAAAATCTAATACTTGCCAAGACCTAGTATTATTTTGAGGTTCACAGACAAAACAAATCTAAAAAATCAACTTCAAAACCCATTCCTTGAGAGTGAATGAAGCATTTTCTTGATATCATTTAGTGTTCTCCTTATCAGGCAGTAACTGTTAAAATTTACTGCTTGAAGCAACACTTCTTACCGCCTGAAACCACTTGAAGGTTTACTAAAATTAAATAAGTAGTTTAAAAAAATACTCAAGTTGTGATCCGATCCGACTCTCACAAGGAAATGATGGAAAAGTACTCACTATACATGTAATCGTTATCAGAATCAAATGTTTTAAATTGTTGTCTAAAGATATAGGCTGATTTGCGTAAAATATGTCTTAAAATAAGGGAATGATGTTGTAGAGAACTTAGCTCCTAAATTTCTCAGCAAGGGTGGGGCCATGTCCCTCACTCCACTACCCCTTCTTCTCCCATGGAAAGTGTGACTCTGACACACATTTTTTTGGCCTTACCGGCCATGAATGGCCAATTACCTGCAGAGCTAAAATTTAAGGAGAACACTGATCATTTTCCCAGACCACCCCTTGACTTACCCTTTACTTTTGTGCCTTCCATTTTAGAGGCCCAGGATGCAAATTTAAAGGAAGTCAGTTTTACAGCTTGCCATTTGGGCAAGCTGTAGCTAGCATGTACTAGCTTACCATTGGCTGACACCGTTGGCAAAACGTAGATTGGACTGGATCGGATCATTTCCAGTAACCCTATCCCTTACCTTCTGTCATTTAGTGAGTTACAGGGGTTGATCTGATATGGTCCAATCCAGGTCTTTTTGATGCCTCATTTTGAGCAATTTCAAGTAAATTATGTGAATGGTTACCATTTATTGAGTTCTGTGTAAATCTTGCTGCAGGTAAGAAGCCTCAAATCTAGCACAGGCAGATCGAGTTTATCAACATAGCATCAATTTATTGGGTAAAATTTCAGATTGTAATGAGAAGGTCGAGTTTAAGACATAATCGCTTTTTACACTGCTCATGGAATTCATCAAGGGCTCTTAGCTCTATAACCAAAACCGGCCCAAACTAGAAGAAGTGATATCGAGCCTTGAGTAAGTTTTGAATTTTCTAGAGTCTAAAAGGAAACACTGACGCGCTGATCTATTGAAAACGACATGACAGCAAGCTCTATCATGCCGCCATCTTGTTCATTTCATGGATTTGAAGTTTCTTGCGTGTCTCGCGAGACTGTAATAGGCTCTGACAGTATAGGGGAGAAAAACATAAACTTACGAAGGCCGTCGTCTGTCCAAACCAGCTTGTTTGAAGGAGCGAAAAGAAGATAACTCAGAGTTCTGCGAGATCGCCGGATCATCATCAACTTCTGCCGCCATTTTTCGGTCAATCCAGTTCCCGGCCCAGTCTATGGCCGAGTCAAAGTGTTGCCCTGAAGGCCCGCAATGTGTGCAAAATAAATCCCGCTCTATTTTACGCCTGAATCCCGATCCCGCCCCATTTTTTTACGAGACTTTTTGCTTGATTATTGAAATAGACGTTATATAAGTCTTACCTTCTGACAATTGTCAGTTTTGATGGTCAAGGTTCTCAACATCACAATAAGCGACCGTAACTTTATTTTCTGTTTTGCTTATTTTTTCGTCCGCGCATCGGTACATTTTTACTTCGATATTTTAAGTCCTGTATTTTTGGAGTTAGGTTGATTGATGTTATCTGTCTGTCTCACGATGATTCGACTGCTTTGCTGCTAGTTTCCATCAGGCGATGAAGCCAATTCTGTCAATTGTTTATGTGGAGTGTAGGAAAATGTATATAAACACACAGGTTGTAAAGACTGAGAAAATGGTATCTTTTATGAAAACATAAACCTGTTATTGAATCGAATAGCACGACCAAATGCGGACACCCTTCCAAGCAGGAAGTTTGCTTCTCAATCCAAAGTGGCTACCCTACCCTACCGTACCGTAACGCAGGGCACAAAGTCCATTGATATTCCAAGTTACCGTATATACAAGGATATTGAGGTCGTTGAAACTCAGAGCTCTCTTGAGTTCTCTTGAACTCTAAAACTCAGGTTGACTCATCTTGACTGTTTCTTTACGACTTTCAAGGTCTTCACTTGCCTTGAAACAGGAGCTCTAAATATTTCTTTCGGAAGAAACGCATTCCTACTGGCACCTTTTTCGGAATACAGAGCCCACAATTTATGGTGTCTACCACATTGTCGTGATTGTCTACTTCCATCAGTGCTGGTGTGGCCATACCGTGACCAGACTTACTTAACAAACCCTCAGTCCAAAGAATCGTCCAGGTCCGTCCAGGCAAAAGCAGAAAAGGTCAAATCCGTGAACAAAACAGGAATCAGTGCAGATCAATGCAGGATCTTAATGAATGTGACTTCTAACCCCAGTGATTTGATACCTCTTTCCAAGTAACGAAAACGATAAAAATAGCAAAACCAGAAAAGACGAACAACACACAAAACTGATAATTTGACAGGCTTCACTTCCTTTGACACTCATAGCTTGATTACAAAGGCGGTATACACACTAAAGAACCACTTTTTTTCAGTCAACGCTAATAAATTTTTTGTCAAGACAAAACTAATATCCCGTATCCCACTATTTTCCCTTACGATTCTCGCATCCCATCCCCATAAAAATAGGAAATCCCGCTCCCGCTGGTTATTAAAATTCCCGCATCCCGCTTCTGTTTTTAGCCCACATCCCGAGTATCACAACGAAAAATATCCCAATCCCGCGCCCAATAAAAATATCAATCTTCTGGATTATTGTATATTTGCTGCTGTTTCAGTGAAAAAGGGTCAAAAGGCAGGTTTTTTGCGCCCGACAAGCTCGATAATCACACTTGCAAAAGAAAAGGAAAGGAGAAATAGAAAGAGAGGGGAGGAAGAAAGGAGGAGAATAACAACAGCAATGATTGCTCTCTTAGCTTCTATGTTGGCTACTTTTTTCAGAAAAAAAAACCCTGCTTGACGTAAGAGGTCTATTTGGCAAAAAAAATTTTCAAAACTCCCACTAGATATTTGATATCTTTATTTGCAAAACCAAAAACAGAAATTGACAACCCTTCTCCTCCTCTAGCTAGCCTGCCAGAGCAGACGCCTTTTTCGGCTCTTGATCCAGGAGAAGAAAAAGTCATCTTCTCTCGCAAACTATGACCATTGTCAATAAAAACAGTTTTACTCTCCCTCTACTCCCTTTACAAAAAGGCAAACAAGCACCAAAAGACGGTATTGCAGAAAAAGGTAGGGTGTTAGTCCGTCTACATGAGTCAAATGATTGAAGTTGGAAAATACAAAAATAGATGTGGCAAGCATCCTAGAACAACGATTCTATTGAAAATATGCGTTGTTCCGTTGTAGAACTTATTTGACAGACCGAATAAAATACAATGGTTGAAAGTAGATATATATATTGTTTTTATTTATTTTCAAACATGTCAAAAACAACAAAGAAAACGTCAATGGCAGGTGAGTAGGTAAGTCGAAAAGTGTGAGAGACTATACCATATGAACGCGCGTCGCTAAAATTCAGCATACTTACCGCGGTTATCTTTGTAAAAATAATCCGGTTCTGTCGGATGAAAGTTAACCGAAATTTCTCAACCCAGATAGAACTCGACAGATTTAGTCATTTACCACTCAAAACTCTAACTGCACGAAAAAATGTATTTGTAAAAATTTGCTCTGGGCAAATATGTAACAAATATATACATACTGAAAGGCAAATCTCGGGCAAGAATGGTAAATACCTTATTTGCTTCCATATCATGGAGACAACCCTGTGTTTTTGGTTTGCAAATGTAGCATTTACCATCATTTTTTCCCCGATCACTCCTCTATTTTCACATTTTTGCGACGTATTTGCACGAGGCAAATTTGTGCAAATCCCTTTTTACAAGTTTTGGGTAATTCATAAACCATGACTGTTCTTTACTAGAAACGCGATTTTAATTAGGTAACAAGCAAAATTGATGACTTTTAGAAGTTTGTCACTTTTAATTATGCAAATGAATATGATATAACACGAACACAACCCCAGCTAGGTGAAACGTTTACATGGCAAAATTTGACCCTAGCCGAGAGAGTTACCCGGTCTAGACCGGGTAACCAACCTCAGTTATCACGTAAAAGCGATCAAATTAAAATCAGAGATTATATGGACAGGCCAAGTTCGTTATCGGGTTACCTTACCAAACTGGGGTCCCCCACCCTAGTCAGTAAACACACAAGTGTAAGCTTCATTGTAGTGTTTACAGGAGAGTAAATAAATGTGATCAGAAGTTTGTGTCCGCTTGCAAACGAAATCATGTGGACATAACCTCAAATTTTCATTTTTTGACCACATGACTCGCCACATGGCCAAGTAAAACATTAAGGCTAAAGAAAAACCTCAATTTTTCCATTAATGAAAGGAAAAAATTTATTGTGTTCTGGGTATCCTAGGGAAAGATTTTGCCAGTCAACGAATTTTCTCAGCTTAAATACTTTGGCAGGCTTAAATTATCGAGCGCAATAGCTCTAAACTTGAGGATAATCTTTAGTAACACATACGGGCTTGTCCGTGGGCATTTCAAAAAGTATATGTTTTTATAATAAAGACGAGAGATCGATAAGCATACGAAGAAGAAAAAGTTAACGAAAAAAATTTACTTCAAATTTAGGGACGTCAGCTTTGGAAGTTTACGACTTGCAGATAAAGCGGTTGGTGTTGGATAGGAGGCGAAAAAGTGATCTAAGTACGTCAGCCGTTCACCATAGTAACGACCGCACGGGCAAGCGCACTTCTTATGAGAGTTTCGCCTATGAACTTCCAGCATCTCCGGAGAACAAAACACTTTGGTTGGGCAAAATGCGCATCGCAGTTGATTTTTAATGTGCTGTTGTAAGTCTCGTTCCTGTCGAAAAGAGTTTTCTTTGTGGTGATATATGCATTCCACGTTTGGGCAAATCAATCCATGTATTTCCTTATCATGACTAATGAGTTCTCTTTTCCCCGCAAAAATAATGCGACAGAGTAGACATTTATATTGTACAAAATCAAGCAAAGTCGGTGCAACTTGAAAATCCACAATTTCGAGCTGCACACGAAACTTTTTAAAAATTGCATCCGATAGCTGCTTGCAGTTTTCCGATGATTTTGACATTACGAAGTATAAAAAAGAGCGAGAGGGAACTGTACTTATTCCACTTCGACTCCTCTCCGATGTAGATTTTGTAGACCCTAATCGACTGTAAAAACTTTCGCTTGTTTTTGGCCTCTTTTTATCCAGATCGGCTGTCAGGGAATAATCAGCGTCAAATTTATACCTCGTCACATACGCTTCTAGTAATCTCCAGGCAGCACCGATGTTTTCTGATGAGGCGGGATGCTTGAATAACCACGGCTTATATCTTGGCAGTACCTTCGCTGGGATATCGTGGCGGTAAAATATATGCACAACAATATTGCCTCTTAGTGTTGGCGACAAAGAGATGCCCCTGATAAATTCAACGAAAGTCGCATCCCACTCGATGAAGAACACTATCCTTTGACTGGAATTCAT